TTGGCTGGTACCACTCAAAATGAAGAAATAATAGTAAGATTTCCAGCTTGTCTGCATGTCTCAATATTTAGGAATTAGTCATTAGTTAAAATAGTCGTAAAAAAATTGTATCTTATACCAACGCCCTCCCTAAGAAACAATGTCTCAATACTTCGCTATTTTTAACATGTTCATCATTTTGCCTCTTGTGCAGGAAATTAATATTAGAAAAAGTATGCGTTTAGGTCAAAATCAATAACTTCGTTAGTAGCCAGCGCAACTAATTATAATAATCTTTGCTAGCCAGAGTTGAGGTACTTTGGGTGGCCCCAAAGGATGGGCTTGGGCCCGTACGCATGAGCGTCTGCTAGCCAGGGCGCTTGAAATAAATGCCGGGCATAATTAATAGCACGGCGGTGGAATAGGCTATCGCTCAATTCGGTGTACGGAATATGTCTTCAAGAACAAAAATTCCGAGCACACCTGAGCACTTGCTATGAGTTGTGAATGCGAAAGCACGAAGGTAGTTCTTGACAGCGTATGTATATCGCCATGTGTCCGTTGCTGTGTGTCAGTGTCAATCACCGTGCAAGCGTAGCCGTGTGTTCCTCGCCGGTACCACGGCGCATGCGCCGGCGAGCACATATCTGAAAAACAAAATCTTGTGCCAGCTGCGATGTTGTGGGGGTAGAACCCAGGCGCCTGTGCTTCTGAAGCAGTAATCCACTCGGCCACGAGTCTTTTCTCTTTAAGACATGGAAATTTCTTGGATTTCATTAGGGAAAACACGAGCCCCGATGCCCCCCCCCCCCCCCCCCCCCCCCCCCCCCAATAGTCTACGCCTATGTATGGGCGGTTTCATTTGGATTCACGCACCGAGGTGCAGCCGTATTATTTATTTTGCTTCAAAATTTTATATTTCGTGGCGCATGTTCCAAGAAGAACAAACCTTTTTATTTTAATGCCCTGACATGTTTAGTTTCTGAGAAAAAAAAATGTCAAAGAAGCGGGAAAGAACGACGAGGTTTTGACGATTGTCGAGTTTGGCGTTTTTGAATCACTCTCAATCTCGAAGTATTCGAAAGGAAACGTCTGTATTTTTAGAGCGCAGCTCTTAGGGGCCCGTTTCCGGCTTGAGCGGCGTCGCCGTCGGCGTCGGCGTAACCGCGCGGTGCATCATGGGAAATGTCCCATAATGCACCGCGCGAGCCCCCCACCAAGGTCACGTGACCTCGTGGGGGGTCACGTGACCCCCCGAAGTCACGTGGCCCCCTCCTCGAGGTCACGTGACCCCCGCCGATGTCGCGTGACCCCCCGATGACGTCATCGTCACTGATGACGTCACCGGCATCCACATCGTCATCGTCATCATCACTGATGACGTCACCGGCATCCACATCGTCATCGTCATCATCACTGATGACGTCACCGGCATCCACATCGTCATCGTCATCACTGATAACGTCACCGGCATCCGCATCGTCATCGTCATCATCACTGATGACGTCACCGGCATCCACATCGTCATCGTCATCATCACTGATGACGTCACCGGCATCCACATCGTCATCGTCATCATCACTGATGACGTCACCGGCATCCGCATCGTCATCGTCATCGTCACTGATGACGTCACCGGCATCCACATCGTCATCGTCATCATCACTGATGACGTCACCGGCATCCACATCGTCATCGTCATCATCACTGATGACGTCACCGGCATCCACATCGTCATCGTCATCATCACTGATGACGTCACCGACATCCGCATTGTCATCGTCATCATCACTGATGACGTCATCAGTGACGTCACTGATGTCGTCACCGGCATCCGCATCGTCATCGTCATCATCACTGATGACGTCATCAGCGACGTCACTGATGACGTCACCGACATTCGCATCGTCATCGTCATCATCACTGGTGAAGTCATCAGTGACGTCACTAATGACGTCATCGGTACCCACATCGTCATCGTCACTGATGACGTCATCAGTGACGTCAGTGATGACATCATCGGCATTGGGGGTCACGTGACCCCCAAGGTAACGTGACCCCCCCCCCTGGTTAGTTTAACCCCCCCCCCAGTGCCCTTCCCTCCTCCTCCTCAAGAGCTGCGCTCTAATTCGGCGTTACAGGGAGTTGTAAGCGGCTTTCATTTTTTTTAGTGTAATATATATGGAACTAGGTAAAACGACATTATAACTGCTATTTATTATTCGACGCTCCAATCTTTGTAAAAATTCCCAAACATACCTCCGCTTACAACTGTGACCTAAATTGCGGATTGATTGTTTCTTTTTCTTTTTTTTAGTTGACTATGTTTAGTATTGCTTTTGAAATAATACCACGTGTAGAAACTTTCATTGCCTTCCAAATTAAACAAATTTTGTGCCTTTATCGTGTACGAGTACTAAGAAATAAATTATGAAACAGAGAAGGTTCTCACTTTTCGTTCAATTTCAGCACGCTGCATAAAAAAAAAAAAAAAAAAGAAAAGCATTTTTAATTTCGTTTTTTTTTCTTTCTCGCGTCGCGTTCTCTTCACAACCTTCTTTTCGCCAGAAGACATTCCGTTAGAGGTATATGCACTGGTTTTGAGTTTTAAGCCTCTAAACCGATTACTTATAATTAATTATTTCAATATGTTCGCCTGTCTTCAATATAGGCCACAGGAGGGGTGAGATTTCAAAGAAACTACATTGTGCTAAGTGTTTCTCAGTGGCAAATTTGAACCGGGAAGGGTCGGAAATACCGAAACTAAACCGCAGAAGAGCCAACCTAACCATAAAAAAATAACCGTTCCCCCCTCAAAACCAATGATTCGGCTCCCGTCGTCCGAGACGCCACCGTTTCTGGGGGACGGCTGCTATGTGATGTAATACGTATAGTTTCGTATTTCATATTAGCCTCGACTTAACCCTGGGTGGCTCACTACTAAAGCATGTGCCCTCCACAACCCTCCTTGGTGTCGTCCTGGACAGCCGCCTCAACTTTGCCCCCCAGGTCCACAGCGCCACACCGAAAGCAAGACGCATGCTTGGCTTTGTCACTCGAGTCACACGAGGGATGACACCTAACACCTTCCGCCATCTTTACACTGCGCTGGTGCTGCCCCACCTAGAGTATTGCTCTGCGGTATGGTACCCCAGCAAAAATATCTCCAAACCACACTACAAGGCGTGCAACGGCGTGCCGCCTACACTTACTATCGCCGCAGTGCTTCCCCGCCGTCAGTCCCACTCCCCTACAGAGAAGTACCATCTAGTGACCTCCTAAAGACTGCTGCCTGGAGGAGCCTGCACCAGCGACAGCAAGTAGCATCTGTCCGGCTCTTCTGCAGGATCATGAGACCAAACCAACAGGAACTTTATGATGCTCCCAGAGTGAACAGAAGAACAGGTAGACTCCAGCCCGTGATGTCCCGAACATTACGGCCTGGGGAGTCCTGCCTGCTGAGGGCAGCTACGCTTTGGAGGGGGCTCCACCCAAACCTTACCGAACACATTCCCTCTGATCCCCAAGAGGCAAAAGGAGTAGCTCAGACTCTCTTCCGTGACCCCTCTAACGATGTTTAAAACTTTTCCCCCCTTACTTCTAACTTAATTACCTAGTTCTTGTATTTATTTATTTCACGATTCTGTACAACCTATACATGTTGTAAGAGTGCACAAATCGGTGTTGTAAGAACACTAGTTCTTTTTTTTTTTTATCATTCTGTACAAATGTATATATATTGTAAGAGTACATAGGTCGGTGTTGTGGGCACAATAGTGCATGGGCGTCAGCCTTCCCCCAACACCAGCACGCCTGTACATTTCTACCTATCGAGTGCAATAAATAATATCATATCAAATATCACAGATGGAAGCAGGGTTGAAATCTGCGCTAGTTGGTGGTGGTCCATGGTGCAATAAAAAGCGCATGCGCTTTTTATTTTATCCTGAACTTAACCAACTAACTGTCGTTTGAAGCGCATGTCTTTCGTACGTGTACACTTTTTGGTCATTTTTTTTTTCTTTTTGTGCAGAAAAAAAGCAGGACCAAAAAGTGGGCAGTATGACATACATGCGCTTCAAACGACGGGAGTTGGGAATTGCAAGGAGCGGAGACTATGAGGCTGAGGTACCTTGTGGGAGGCGGACTGGGGTACCCCTCCGCGGGAGTTCCGCAACTGATAACAAGCGGGGACAACTCTTTTTGGTGGCCTAGTAGTTCTGGACTTTTTGGGTTTCAGTTTCTGTTTGGGTAGCTTGCGTTTTGGCGTGACATCCAGGCATTTGCTACAGTTCGTTTTTTCGCATGAGGATCGCGATTGAGGGCGCTGAACCGCGATCGCCAAGCATGCAGTCATGTCCACGTCTCTTTTTAGCACTCGGACCGACTTACAACATAAATTACACAGTCACCTTCTCGAATTTTATTTGTCTTTCGTGTGGAGCTCTCGCTCCACATGGAGCGGAAGTTCGCGCTGTAGAACCCGGGCATCCTGGGTTGAATCAGGTGGTATTAGTGGAATCCTGACCCCTTCCCATTTCGATCCATCGCCACGTTAATAAAAAAAAAAAAATAAAGTTAAAAAGAAATAGTTTATATATCTTTTAATTCGTTAAGTTGCACGCATCAAATTATTTTGGTTGAACTGTCTTTATTCAGCTGCGCAGTGAAACGGCGTGCTTCGGCACTCTAGCTCTGGCTTTTCAAGTTCAAAGAAAATGCTCGAGAGGTAGAGTGCCTCAATGTTGCTTGCCGGCTGCGGCGGCAGCCAACAACATTGAGGCACTCTATCGAGAGGTGGCACAGCATGCAGCCTAATTCGAAGGGTTCAGCTTTATATTCTTATTTATCTACTTATAATATAATATTTTAAATTTTAAGACGTTATTAAAATCAGTAAGTTGTTTTCGCAAAAAAAAAATTTTATTATTTATTTTCGTATATTTACGCTGCAAAAGAAGTTGTCGACTGAGGGGTGCGCTTCCACTTCATTGCACCTTTTTTCCAGCCAGACCCAGCCTGTCCAACCAACGTTGTGTCCAACACTGTGTCTAGTTCACGTCGGACCAAAGCGAAACAACAAAACGACCGCAACGTCAGGTGAGGTAGAATAACATTATAATAAAGTTTAATCAGTTTCGCGTATCTGTCGTGCCGTCGCACTGTAGCAATGACTTTAGCCATGGCGCTCCTTTTATTCGCAGTGGACCGTTGAGCGGATTTTTAATTCCGTTCTAATCACCGTCGGCCATGGGGGCAAAACGAAAACCGAAGGCTGCTAACAAGCGCGCTCAGCAAGTTGGCGGGTTCGCACAGACATCTATTGCTCGTTCCCGTGTCATGAGAGAACTAGTACAAGAAAGGTGGGGTGATAGCCCCAGGAAAGAACTCCGTGTAGTCCTCAAAAGGTTGGATGAGAGCTTAATTGGCTTCTCGCGCATCGCGACGTCGACTCCTCGGAAGAGGACGGCGGCATCGGTGGCTAGACGCCTCGATTTTTCAAAGTCCGAGTCGCTTAGTGAGCACGATCCGCAAACGAAGAGGGAAAAGCTGCGCAAGGCAGAACACAGTACCCCTTCTCGACAAACGAAAGCTGGTTTGATCCGGCCCACCCTGACTCATAAATCGGACGTCGTACGATCGCGGCAATATGACGCGGATTTCGCGCACCTTGCCAGAGAAGATCTGTCGTCTAATGGGGCCTCCGAAGACGACGATTCCTCGTACCACTTGCCGACCGAGACGGGCACAGAGTCGACGTCGCATGAGAGCAACAGTGAGTGGGAGGAGTTCACCTCTGATGGGACATCCTCCACAACAGAGATCAGTAAGAGCTCATCCCGCAGGGTGTCTACCAGGGCAAAGCGCAACGTGAACAGGAGAACGAGCAGCGGCCGCAGACTTCGATGCCTTAGGGTCCAAAGTTCGGGAAGCGAGTCGGATAACGTCCAAGCTAAAGCAAGTTGGCAGGCCCGTCCTAGGAGACCAGCGACAGGAAAGCAGCCGTCGAACAGTGATGACGACAAAGTTGAACGTGAGCAAAAGAAAGCCACAAGCCAAGCCAACCAGAAACTTGCCTCAAGAGAAAAGCCCAGAGTCACAGAAAAGCAGTTCATTCGGTCACCAAGAGCCAAGTATGTAGCTAGAAATTTGGAAATAGTAAAGCAGGGAAGCAGCAGCAGTGGGGAAGAATCTAGCTCTGCCGAATCAACAGAAGACACAGAATCAAAGTCTAAAGTGGAAACAACCAGGAGAAAACGTACACCTCAACATAGCTTGAGTACCAGTGACATGGATTCTGAACGTTTGCAAGAAAAAGACATGGCACAAGGTGGTAAAGGGTCACTTCCTGCAAAACGATACTGCGCTCAGCACGTGACGAAAAAGAGCAAGACTTTTGGCTCGAGAAGGAAGCATGAGAGCAGCAGTAGCAGCAGTCAAAAGTCTGAAGCGCCAACACAGCCACGAGATCCCAAATCGACCCGGTTTGCCGCAGCACATGGTAGTTACGCAGACAGACGCAAATCCCTTCGAGCCAGGAGAGAAAACACGCTCTCCTCGCAGTATTCCTCAGATTCGTCGGGCGACAGTGACGGTGAACCCAGTCACCTGCAAAGGAATGCCGTGTTCCGATCCAGCAATGCAGACATTCCGTTAAAACGGCAGGCTGTTAACGGGAGTTGCGTCCGACTAGCAAGAAAGAGCACAAAGGCACTACTCTCGGAGGAGGAATCTGCAAGCAGTAACAGCTCTGAAGGATGGTTGGCAGTGCAGTCACTGAGAACAGGATACATTCATGTAAAAGTAAGAAGTCGCGTGGCCAAAAACAAGACCACTCAAATTGAAGAAGACGAGATTTCCCACGGTGCTACCACATCTTCGGAAAGCAGCAGATATGACATTACATACTCCAAAAGAAGTAAAGTGACAAAACCTCAATCGAGGCAGCCTACAACAAGAAAGCAACCAAAACTGCAGGCTTCTGTTGTAGGAGTGAAGAAAAATGGCAAGTCCAGAAGTCCTCTTGTGGCTGGTGGATCTGGAGAGTCTTCGCATGACCACTCTAGTGCCTCGCAAAACAGTAGCGACGGTTCAGGCAGCAATCGGAAAAGTGGCATTGTTCAACAATCTACTAGGTGCGTTTCCAGCACACATCAAGGTCCTAAGAGAAGCCATGCCCTCCGAATAAGGCTGACAAAGAAGAATCCAGTCAAAAGGAAACGGCACCCAAGCAGCAGCAGCAGTCATAGTACCAAGGAAGGTCTGACAACAGAGTCGGAAAGCTCCCAGATTAGTTCAGGAGACCCAAGAGCAGAGTCCTTAGCCTCCAAGCAGCGATCATCGACATCTGGGATTGGCGCCACACAGGATACAGGAAATCCTGTGACCAGAAGAAGCTCGATTAGGACTGAAAGGGACAACAACCTCGCAGCAAGAAAGCAACTGCAGGCTGTCGTCGTCGGACCAAGTATCAGGCACAGGCTCAGGGGTTCGTCTATCATCTCCGGTACCATGGATGACAGCAGCAGTAAACTAAAAAACTCCCAGAAAAACAAGGTCACACAATCTAAAGCAGTCCTTAATGTGCAGCAAGGTCCCCAAGAGGACTTGGATAAGCTGAAGGCAGTTACAAGCCCCAGAAAAAAACCTGCAAGGGGCAGCGGCCATTTTTCCGCTGAAAAATTGGTAGCATCAGAGTTGGAGACTGAGGAAGACGAAGTTGGTCTCAGAACCCCACGAGTTCACTCTACGGGCCGTGCACCGAGACCGCTGCAACCTAAGACTGACGTCGTGAAAGTATCAAAGAAGAATGTGTCTGGTGGTAGCCCCGTTAGGGCTAAGGACGGTGACAAATCTTTCCGAGGCTCTTTAAGCGTATCCGAAGCTGACAGCAATAGCTCGGGACATTCGGAAAAGAAAGCTGCAGCTCGGTTTCAGCCCGAGAACCTTCCAGCGAGAAACCGATTGCGGCAGCGGACTGCCGCACCAATCAAGAAAGCGCGAGCCACCAGAAGTTCTTCCAAAGCAGCTAGCAGAACATTTTCACCTGATTTTTCCGTCCGTAACCTCCGTCGGTAGACCAGGTCACCGAGAGATGCGGTACCATCACCGGTGCAAAGACGCAATCAAAGATTGTTGTTGGAGGCTGAAGCTCATTCCCGGGGATCCCACTGGCCACATCGACAGCTAGCAAGACGACCGAGGCGGCAAGGTGGCGGCTCGGCGAAAGCCAACGCCTTCTTGAGGCAAGATAAAGCCACCCTCGGCCACTGCAGCCATCGTGGCAGGGAAAAGTACCCCCGAGCGCTAGAGGCAACCGTGAAAGGTGGCCGAGGCACCGGCGGCTGCCGCAGCTCCGAGCAACAACATCCACAGGTCGTCGTCCCCGTCGCGAAAGAGAACGATCTCCGATCTCCCGCTTCGGAAGGACCCCTTTGGGAGGCTGCGGAAGATGACCCAACGCTAGCTGGCATGAGGACCCCACCCTCCTGCTCGGATTGGGCAAGAACTCCGGGGGTCAGCCTGTGCGGTGCCACGTCTTTGCCGTTCGGGTGGCGGAGGAGATTGTGCACGCCATTCAGAAGCGAACCAGTGTGCCTTGCACCACGTCAACGCCCGAAGTGTTGCCGAAGTCTCGTAGGGTAGCGACAACCATGTTGTGTGACTCGATCGAACTGGAAGGATCAGCTGCAGACCGTGAGAGAAGAAAAACCATCTCGGCGATTCGGGTGTGGAGCTCAACCACTTTGCTGAGGAGGGCTCTGCATTGTAAGTGTCTCGTGTGGTTGGTGTCAGGCAGAAACTCGCTATTCTCCTTGGTGTCCGCTTTGTGGGTGCCCCTCGTGTTTTCTCGGAAGGACGCCGGAGAAGCTGGGCTACGGCGTAGCCAGACAGGATCTCATTTCTCAACAAAAAGAACTTTATTAATGGACGTCGTGACCCCCCCCCCCCCCCCCCCCCCCCCGTGGCACATAGGTGCATCTTCAAATTTGCCGGAACACCCTTGTAATAATGTGTGCCCTGTACGCCGTCAAGCGAAATTTGTTTTGGACATGTTTGTTAAACATTAATTCTTTGCTCTGTTTCATACTTGGTGGCCAAAGCTGCTGGAGCAAGCCTGCGTCTTAATTTTGTGCTTGACCTCCGCGTGTGCTTGCGCAAATGAGATGCTAGATCAGGGGTGGCCAGGCTGACCCGGCCTGAGAGCCGCAAACAAAACCGCGAAACTTCCAAGAGCCGCAGGGGGGGGGGGGTTCAAACTTTTGTCTAGAGCAATAAACCAAACTCGAACTACTTTCAATCTATCCGAGTCAAACTGTATTAAGATAGCTGTAGCACAAGACTAACACACTGCAACCTGTTTTTCTATATAAAACGCGTTCCATTTCCCCTTTTGGGGAAGTGCTCGTGTGACCGGGAGGGAGGCGGAGTCTGTCTGTGTGTGTGTGGGGGGGGGGGGGGGGGGTTAGGGGAGGGAGCCGCGAGCCGCACTATAACACGCGAAGAGCCGCATGCGGCTCGCGAGCCGCAGCTTGGCCACCCCTGTGCTAGATGATGGTACAGGCTCATGCTAGTAACTGATGCAACAATTATTCTCTTTATGTCGCACGTGTCATAGTGCAATTACATGCGGATCAGTTTGATATTGTTCTCCTGCTTATCTTGCCAGCCTCTTCATTCCTCTGCCTTTCAGTTATCATTGTGTATGAACAATCTCGACCATTGCAGTCATCCTCTGTATATACCACAGTGGCATAGGCAGGTGAGTGGTTTGGGGGGTCAAAAGTAAAGGAAGACAAATATAGAATTACTACCGAATTGTTCCTGCCAATTTGGGGGTGTGGAACAGCCGTGCGTGTATCTGAATTGTACAGTACATCGACTATTACGCCGAAAGATATAATAAAGCCCTCCCCCCTTACCACCACACACACTCACCCCCCCCCCCCCCCCCTTCCTGGAAGTAGTTCCTTGCTACACCATTGATATACCAATTTAGTTTCAGACGCAGCAGTATGCTGGAAGTTGAAACATATTTTTATTTGCATCAATCATTGTAAGCTGAGTAACAGGGTGGACACAATCATTTTTAATAGAAAATTTCCTGCATGTGAATATGTACTTGGTGTCATTGGTTTTGGTTTTCCTTGAGTGATGCAGAGGAGGTCTAGTCTAGGCACTTGCGGTGTGAAAAAGTGTAAAACATTGTTTTGCTAGTCTTGGGGTGTAGTGAACATGATGAAAATAATCCCTGGAGAAGGGGAACAAGAGGGACAAAGACAAATCTCCAAACACAGCTGGGTGACTGGTGCGCGACCGAAAAAATCCGCCTGGTCCGGGTATCGAACTTGGAACCTCTCCATTACAGGTGGAGCGCTCGACCAACTGAGCTAACCAGGGGTTAGACGTGGGTAGAGCAAACGGGTTTTATCAGCTGCCACCAGTCTAACACCAACAAGGGTGCAGCTTGCAGTTTTAGGTTATGATTATAATGCAATTATTTTCATCATTCTTTTCCAGCTCGCTTGCACCTTTGCATTTAATTGCATTATAATCATAACCTTAAATTGCAAGCTTCACCCTTGTCGGTGTTAGACTGGTGGCAGCTGATAAAACCCGTTTGCTCTACCGACGTCTGACCCCTGGTTAGCTCAGTTGGCAGAGCGCTCCACCTGTAATGGAGAGGTCCCGGGTTCGATACCCGGACCAGGCGGATTCTTTCGGTCGCGCACCGGTCACCTAGCTGTGTTTGGAGATTTGTCTTTGTCCTTTGTCCCTCTTGTTCCCCTTCTCCAGGGATTATTTTCATCATTCTTTTCCAGCTCGCTTGCACCTTTGCATTTACTGCATTATAATCATAACCTTAAATTGCAAGCTTCACCCTTGTTGGTGTTAGACTGGTGGCAGCTGATAAAACCCGTTTGCTCTACTGACATCTAACCCCTGGTTAGCTCAGTTGGTAGAGCGCTCCACCTGAATTGGAGAGGTCCCTGGTTTGATACCCGGACCAGGCGGACTTTTTCGGTCGCGCACCAGTCGCCTAGTTGTGTTTGGAGATTTGTCTTTGTCCTTCTTGTTCCTCTTCTCCAGGGATTATTTTCATCAATCTTGTGCAGATTGCTTGCACTTAATTGCATTATAATCATGTGCTGAACAGCACTCTTTGCTGGTCAAGGTAGCCTTTTTGGTTCATCCTAAAATGGTGGCTAGAAAAATGTTCACACATGTCAGTTCATTGGTACCTTTGATTTCTTTTTGTCGGAGAATGTGAAATTCTAGCTCCATTTGTTTGCCCCTAGGCATACGAGCAATTGGGCAACAGTGTGGTAGCAATGAAGGGGCATCAAAGTATTCATATACTCATGTTTTTTTGCTGTATTTAAGAAAATGTCTAAAGTATGTATCCTTTTCGTTTTATAAATTTTATTGATATATTTGTGTTTTCCATATGTTAGTGATTAGTGTGACTTGCTACTTAATGCAAGTGCTGCGCCATTTGCGCCAAATTGTGCCATAAACGAAAGTCTGCAACTTGTGGCAAGGTGCCATTTTCGCTAAGAATTGCACCACACCTGTGCCGAGGGGGGGTTTAAACAAAACAAGCGGTAGTAAAGTGGTCATTAATATATAATATTAATATCAGTAAAACAAGCGGTACAAATATTTTATTATTGGTCGGTTGTAGTATTTAGAAAAGATGGAGGAGGCAGAAATTATGCAGATATGTTCAGAGCGTCTATCCTACCCTCCATATAGTTTGTTTCATCTTGGGCCAGAGCACAATTTGGAGGCTCAAGCAGATACTAAAAGAGCAAGTGTAGGGGCATTCGCTGCACTTGATTTAGCGTCAAAGTTGAAAAGATTTCGATGCATTGAATACAGAAATTTTATCCTAGCTATTCCTCGTCTATCTTCAAGATGTGGCAAGTTGGGTATTTTCAGCATTTCACTAACAGAGGCTGTTTTTCTATACTTCGGCAGTGTAAACCTTGTTGCTTTTCCTTGAACCCGTTGGTCCTATTTCAACTCGTTGATTGCTCCCATTAAATTGTAGCATCGCTAGTGCTTTGCCTTAAGATGGAACGAAGTGCAGATATTACTCGTCATTGGCACTGACCCCATCATCCTGGGAATTTCCAAGCGATGTCAGTCTCTCTGAGCTAAGAGTCTCGAGAAAAATGTGCAAAATAATGGGATAGCGGCTATCATAACAAGACAGAACCAAGGTGCTTTACTCCCGATATAGTTTGATTAGTATTATGTCTGCCACATGCCATGCAGATGCACGGCATGTGCACAGTGTACCAGGTCACTCACTGTTTGCGTCAACTGGTGAATTGAGCCTACTCTGACCTGAGCCTCATTTGAAATGGAAACTTCATTTTGCATCCCATCTATTCTTACTACAAAAGATAAGATGCTCCAGTATCAAAAAGGAACCCTCGCTCCCCTCTCAGCTTAGGAGGGGGGAGCATTAAGAGGATCCCACAAGCATGGGCATACCAACCGGGGGGGGGCAAGGGGGGTGCTTGCCTTCCCCCTCCCAGTTCTCAGTGGGGGGGGGGGGGGGGGGGGGGCAAGGCATGTGTTTTGCCCCCCCCCCCCCCCCCCCTGAAACAGCCGCCACTGGGCAGGGCAAACACTGTCCGTGGGCGCCCAAGAGATACCACGGGGACCACCCCCTGACCCAGGGGGGGGGGGGGGGGGGAGGGTCTGGTTTGCCCCCCCCCCCCCCCCCCCTCAAGGACAGGTTGGTACGCCACTGCCCTCAAGACGGTCTGCAGACACTGTCTGAGGCAGGGGTGGATTTAGGGGGAGGGGGGGTCGACCACCTCCCCTAAACCCCCCAAGGCCAACTTTTTGATGTGAAAAAATTTATTTACATTGGCCAAAAGTTTAGTTTATGGTGACAGCAAATATTGGGTCAACAAAATACATATGGGCTGCACTTCGACCGTGACGTCGTATCAGCAACCCACGCCCTCCCATAGCTTGACCCCTAAATTTTCCCCTGGTCTGAGGCATATTGTATAATAGTCCTGATAAATAGTCACTCTGCAGACCATGCTCAAAGCATACATGTGCGCACACTGTTTCATACTTATACTCCGTTCACCCTTGAAGGGGCCCTGCAATCATATTTAAGCGTCTACCTTTTTTGGAGTTGTCACGTCCCTCAAGGTTCAAGCAAGCCAGCGGGCACGGAGAGAGTAACTAAATATCAGTGGCGTCATATTTTAACCTGACGACGCGGAAACCTCCTCCACCGACGGGGGCAACCCGCGGTATCGAAAGCGCGCGATATGTGACATCTTTGGTCCTGGGCTTACTACTGGTCAGAGCCGCTAAAAGCTTCTTTTTAGTCGAAATACAAAATATAATTGGCGCGAACCGTTTCAATTATTTATAAAAGTAGTTTTTGTTCGCTATTTTAGATCAGAAAAGAAACAAATGCTGTTTAGAAAGTACGGAAACAAAAACTGACCCGTCGACATACCTGCCACCAAGGGGTGGAAAAGGTGGCGCATACTATAGAAAGGTGTGGTGGGATCAGGCGCCGACGAGCGGCGAGCGTAGAAAGGTCCCGGATGTATGCGGCGGCGCTGCAGTTGTACGGACTGGAGGATCCGACAGGTTCCGAGCGTGGCGAGCAGCTTTGGCTTGCGGTTTGGCCCTTTGGCGGTGTGGCAGCGCGAAGTGGCTCCCGTTCTGAATTGATCTTTACCCCGTGTTTGCTGTCGTTTGTGGCCAATGAAGTGCCATGCCGAATTATTGTTTAATCGCGCAGCAAATGCAATGCGAGCCACCCTGGCTGCCCGCTTCATACAGCCTATCCAGAACATGCTTTAGTGGCACCCTTTCGAGCCGTCGACACAGTGTGCGGCAGCCGTGACCGCTCCCTCAGCTCACTACCCCTCGTCTAGTTCACGGCCACTCAAGCAACCAAGGACGTAATGAAGGAGGTTATTTCTTGCTTGTTTTTGTAATTTTAATTTGCCTATAACTTTTAAAATAAAGCGATCGAAATTCGAGAAAAAGCTCAGTGCTCTCAGGTTCGGTGCAAATTAAAAACTGGTCAAAAAGTTGTTGCAGGGCCCCTTTAAGCTTAGACTAGAAGCTCTGTCTTCAACGTGAGCTTTCTGCCCTTGCTAACACAAGTAGGATATATTGATATTTCTTTATTTAACTCTTGAGGAGAGTTTGGTGACCATAGAAGAACCGTGGCCCGTACCACCCGTGCGCGTAGGCATGCGTACATAACACATGAGAGCCCAGCTACCCAGTTTGCGGCTCGCATTCGTTTTCTTCCCACCCGAAAACCGCCGAACAAAAACTGGGCCTGTTTGAGTCGCGTTCACTCTTCTCTGCGGTCACGTGCCGTTTTGTATGGTTTAGACATCACCACCAATGACTATCAAAGTCGTAAGTCATCGAAGGCACACACTCAATAATAAAAATAAAACAAATATGATACCAATTTTTTGTGGCTTCTAAAAAGCTGCAAAATTATGTTGATTAAAAAAAAATTGCATTGCTGGCAACGCTCTCTTCCTCTACATTTCTTGTCCCTCCTCAGTTCAGCTTCGGTTTTGAGCTGTTGCGTGCAGAGTTGCGTGCAGCAGAGGCAAAAGCGCGGGCGCGAGCGCGTGGCTTTCAGATTTGCCTCTCACGAGCACTCGTGAAAGGAGCAAATCTGAAAGCCACGTACTACCCGCGCCCATGCCTTTGCTGCACAGAACTCCTGAGTTCTGTTATAAACGATTTGCTGAAAATTTCAATGGAAAAATGGCAGCCGACGGAGCCCTCGAATACATGGAGCTCTATGGCGCCAGAAACCGAAAACGGGCAAAAATCGATCCCATTTTCCTATTCAAAACTTAAAAAAATCACTCATAACTTTTGAATAAGATAACGGCTGGTGCTGAAACTTTGGCATCTTGATCGAACGGCTGGCTGCGTTGCCACGTTGTGTTCTTACGGAGTTTGACCTCTCTACAATGCCTAGTTTATTTTTGCGTTGCGAAAAGCCGGGTTTGGATTTCGCACAAGCACCCTAAATATCTATATAATTAGTTTAGCCGGATCAAATAAATTGTTAATGGGCATCACATTTTATCGGAACATTGTTGACACTTTTTTAATGGATTTCTGTGTTCATCCATTTCCGTGTCTGCTCAGCCTTATTACTTAAAAAAAAAAAAAAAAAAAAAAAATGGCGACGTGTATTTATTTTGATTTGCCATGAATTAACAAGATGCACTACTTGAATAGAGCAGTTACAAAATTTCCCAATTAAAAGTTATGCATTCAAGGTCAAAAATGAGCAGACGACGCGTCCGCCGCGCGCGCACGAACGCGCACAAGACATGACGCGCCATCTTTCAACGGCACCGAACAACTAAAATACACTTTTACTTGCATATATGTTAATATTCATTACATATGATAGATGCTTGGTGCGTTGAACTGCTACCTATACATTTTAAAGTTGATTATATTAGCCATCATAGCCTGAGTTAGTGGTTAAACGTTAACGCGTTCCGTAACCGCAGACTCGTGACGTCACAGATCCAACATGGCGTTCGGCTCCTGAATGCAGCTTCTCGCCCCCGTACGTCGGTCGATATGTGATCTACCGCCGAGGACCGCTTTCTTTTTTTTAATCACGACCCCAAAATGATTTGAACCGCCTCGAAAACTACTCCCGAAACCCAAGAGCGTGGCACGCGGCCACTGGAAAAAAGCAAAACCATGACGGAGTTGTTCAAATCGGCGTTGGGCTACTTCGCCAACGCGAGCGTCAAAGAGGAGCACGAATTCGTCGGACAGATCGTCGAACTCGGCCAGCAGAAACTCCGCGTCAAACGCGTCATCGCAGAAGGTAAGGTCGTCTCGGAAACTTAGGCGGCTCTTTGTTCGATGGGACTCGGTGTCGGTGGGTGCGTTTGGAAGGGCGTCACTTCGAAATCGCAGGTGTTCCTGCAACCTCCCCATACTTCGCGGGACGCTCCGTATGACACCCACCGGGGGTTTGTCGCTTGCTTATTTGTGTCTTCGTTTGTTGTTGTTTTGCAAACTCAAGAGTTCCTACAACCCGTGTTTGTTCTCAGCGGTTCTACCCACAGGAAACCAATAACCATTATAACCCCCCCTCCCGTGCCCCAACGACCGGGAGTGTCTTTCACGAGTTTGACGAAACCGTAAACAAAAAACCGCGTCTACTAGATTTTTTTTTTTCGTGGGCTTCGTCGAAATGAGGCTAAATCATAAACTACACCGATTGGAATCGCTTGTGTTGATCGCTGCAATTGTTCCGAGAACCTCAGTCGTTTCGTCGTGTTTTCCTTCTGTTTTCTTCTCTCTCTTTTTTTTTTAAATCTATTAGCGTAAGTTTTTGCCCTGCAAGGTCTGTAACTCGAACTTGCTGAAAGACACAAGCGAACGCTCATGCAAATGCTGCAACCCTTCTAGCTGGATCGCGTGTCACGTTGCGCCGGAGGCCACACACGGTTTCTTCATGTTTCAACTACAGCTACAACCCTTGTAGGTTTCCAGTTGAAAGAGAACCATGAATTGATCATAGCAAAAATGAATCCTTGGGGGCAACACGGTTTTTAGAAGACCACCTTGTTATTTGTTTTACTTTGTTAAATCTTTTTGATCTTTAGATGTTGGATCCAGACAAAACGAGTGAAGTTTGCTGATATTAAAGTGTCTCTCACAGTTACGATGCTTACGGGAAAAGTCCTCCAACACGCAAGCTTTATGTAAATGTTGGCGAGACTAGATGTTCTAGATGCTGACGCCAGATATTGGGAGACTTGTAGACTGGGGGAGGGTCGAAGTCTCTTTTGCAGCCATATTAAACTCGGGCTTTGTTACAGCATTGCTAAGCGTTCTGTGAGAAACTAGGAATACTGCTGAACGTTGCGCGAGCACCCGGTACAGCATATACGTGCTGTGCCAATATTAGGATCCAGTAATGCGCTTAAAATAACTATGCCCTTCTGTCTTTTTTCCAGTTAAACGAATTGCCAGAGTGCCATTAGTTATTTAGTAGGTTGACAAGACAGTAGTTGGGGCAACGATAGTAATGAAATAAATATTTCGGACTCAACACGATTACTCACTGTTTCATCAAATTCGGTCAGTGAGACATTGTCTCTTGAGTCACTCGGCACCTACACTAGTATTCAAATGCCCTACGTTCACGACATTAGTTTGCAGTGACCGTAAGCACCAAAGAAAAATGCTGCTTGGACGTTATTGTAGCTAAACTTTTATTCCGGACTTCTCTGTTAAATCTAAGGACCGAGGCGTCCTCTCTAGAGGCCCCTGGTAATCCTTTTAGGGCACTAACTTTTAGTACATACTTTGCAAATTTGAATTAGATGTAAGTGAGAGAATGAGAGAGGCTCAGAAAAGTCTGACTAGCGTCAATATCTATGCCCTTCTTTCTTTCTTGCACTGTTCACTTGGGAGCACAGTAAAGCATGCAATAATTTGTTGATTGGTTAACGGCAAGCGGACATGGTTAGCAAAGGTTTCACTCACAACATGTGCAACTCAGTTGCGTGTCACTCAGCCGCCGCATTCTGCTCCTGTTTTTCTCTAGACTCGGGAGAGAGAAGACCACGCCTAACTTTCATCACAGTTTTCGCATTAAAGCGATCACACTGTTCAAAATCTGAACAGGGTGCACGTGCTAGTGGTTTCTAAAGTACAAAACATTATCGAGCACCCTAAAAAGATGTATTCAAAAGACGTCCCTAATACGACGCCAAATTTAGGGGTTGGAGTCGCCTCTCCAAACGATTGGGGATAGTTTGGATTGTGTTTCGTGCCGTCATTTAAATTTTGATTTTTTTGCAGGAGGGTTTGGCTTTGTGTTCGCAGCACAGGACCTGTCAACGAACAAAGAATATGCGCTCAAGGTAACGTGACTCGCATGACGTGAGAATGCGGCCCTCTGTCAAGCACTTGTATCGTAGTTGTCGTTGCTCTTTCTTGTCGGGAACTGTATTCGTGACCTCATGCTTCTTTCCGGCAGCGCATGTTTGCTGCTGACGAGGAAGCCAGCAAATCCATTCTGCAGGAAGTCAGTGTTCTTGTATCCTTTTCTATCGGCCCCGTTCCCCTAAAACGAATCACTGTTGACGTCAACTTGACATCTTGCCGTTCATTTGAATTGCAGTGGCAGTGTGCAAAGAGTTGCAAGATTGTTCTGTCTATGTCTAGACAGATAAAGGTCATTTGGACAGATACCTCGATACCCAGATAGTACTAGTCTTTTACCCTTCCTATTGTGTAATGCCACAACAATGTTATCTTGCATTTCGGATTGTTATTGCCGTGCTGGCAGCTGGTGGCTACCATCATATTATCGCATAGAGCACCACAGCAAAGGAGTTTAGCGTCTTCTCGCGCACGTTCCCACTGGCCGCTCTGTTCTCTGATTTTCTTGTAGGCGCTGCCATTTTGGGGCTTACAGCAGAGTGGATGCAATCGGTGATCAGTATGATTTGAAAGTGCAAACTTTCTGCGCTTTAAATACAGTTCCAGGAAGATTGTGCAATATTGTTTCGCTCTGTCGCAGACTGTCTTTAACATATCTGAAGAACGGGAAACCGTTTCCTGCGATTTGAAATAACTGACAGCCATAGTTTTATCAACTAGATGGCTGAAGTGTCGGCACTTTGAAGCGTAGCTCATGCAGTGGCTGTAGTTGTCACTTTACTCCCGGCATAATTTCGGACGCATAATTTCGGACGCACTTCAAAGCTTTCCCATCCGTCATTGTGCAGCGTCTGACTCTTTGACCGGATTTATTTACCGTCATATTTTCTGCATAAATTAATCCATCAATTAGTTTGTGGATTGACCTTGATTGCCGCCTGCTGTGCTTAGAAAAAGCTCACGGGGCATCCCAATGTGATCGACTTCATTGCGGCGGCCGCCATCGAGAAGTCGCAGTCGGGCCACAGCAAGTCCGAGTATCTCCTTCTCACCGAGCTCTGTCCGGGTGAGTGCCAAACTTTGACCAATTGTTGTAACTGAGCCTCTATCTGTTTTGGTCGATTAAAGTCCGCAGCATTCATCTTCTCATAAATGTAAGCAAACTAGAGCGTTCTCACTCGCTTCACAAAGAAAAAGGAGGATAAACATGCATTCATTTGTATGATGTTCCATTGCTTTTGGTTGTCTTAGACTTTCTTCTCGTTGAAAGAGTGCATCAGTTGCCAGCTTCCATAGCATTCTCAAAGGGAAACGATTTCTTTCAACCTGTGTTCATAAAACAGACAAAATTGCAATGGAGTTTTTTTCTTTTTTTTTAGAAAGGTACTTAGTTGATCTTTAAAAGATTTATTTTTTATTGAATGCTGAATATTTGTTTCAAATTAAGAATTTATTTATGTTTTTCTAGTTGTTATTCTCATTTAAATGTAATGAAGTTGGAGGATGTCAGTCAACTTGTTTAGCAGCGACGCAATTCAGAAATTTTGTGTGCTTTCTGGAACAATCTCGATTCCAGATCATTCTTGCCTGTCCTTTTTCTGGTTGATGCCACGACCGTCTTGTGCATCATTACTGCACCGGGTCGAGGTGGTGGCACTAATTAATCGCTTGTGATTGGCATCTCCTCTCCAGGGGGACCCCTGGTAGACATATTGCAGCAGCGCACGACGCCGCTGAGCCTGAACCAAGTGCTCCGCATCTTCTACCAGACGTGCAACGCTGTGCAGCACATGCACAACCAGAGCCCACCAATCATCCATAGGGACCTGAAGGTGATCCGGACGTCATTGGACGGAGGGTTTCTGCCAAGCTACGAGCCATACTCCGTTTCACACCGAGTTTGAGGGCAGCTGACGCAACAATTCGTGGATCCAGTCGAGCAGTGCCAGAAGCGCGTCGTCACGGCGCTCCTCTTCTTTGTGCGTCTGCTATCTTCAGCTCAAATGATAACACAGAGAACTAAATCTCAGAATCGTGGCCCATTCACCGTTTGTGACTGTTTAAGTCGGTTATAGCAGACGCACAAAGACGGGCGCCGCGGTAACACACTTTTGGCGCCGCTTGATTATTTTCGCCCGATTGTTGCATCGGCTTAAGGGGTACTCCGGCGATTTTTAGATCTACCCAAATAACTTTAATACCCATTCTTTTCGGCACGCTATTTAGTGCAGTGAAATTCCAAATTGTTATTGTGAATTCTGCAAATGAACATAATGCCAAAACTGTTTAAATATACCCAATCTATTTGGGGGTTCATGATGTCAGTGGCAGGAAGGCTTGCAAGTCAAACAGAAGCAAGAAGAAAAGAAGAAAAAAAGAAAAGCTATTTTAAGCTTTGTTTCATGCTGCTGTGCGGGTGATGGAGCGAGCTTTGAAAAACATTTGTTTGACACCACGAAACTGCTTGTAATCAGTGGGGAACAAATTCTACAGTCCAAAGAGTGAACCCCTGCCTGCCACTGGCATCCCTTTTTTTCATTGCTGCCGGTAAACTGCCACTTTAAAGAAATATGGTGAGGACCAAAATTGTAGGTTCAATAACTTTGGGAAAAAATATATTTTGGCCCAGTATTTGGGTTACTATTTCAGCGATGATTGTCGGTGTGTTCAGCAAATTTTCAGGCAAATCGAGGACCATGAAGAAAATGCCGGAGCACCCCTGTAAGAGTGAGACTGAGTACAGATAAATTGGATGGATTCATGGATGAAACAAACTCCTGAAGAATGACGAAATGCTCTTGCAGATTGAGAACCTCTTGTTGAGCTCCAAGGGCACGATCAAGCTGTGCGACTTTGGAAGCTCGACAACCAAGTCCTACCAGCCGGACAACTATTGGACTGCCATTCAGAGGAGCCTGGTCGAAGATGAGGTGAGATCACTGTTCGTTTCAGCGGGCCATTCTCACAGCTTCTGCTGCTGCTGCTGCTGCTGTTGTTGGTGGTCTTGTTACATTCATTGTCTTTCCGATTGTGCCAGAAAGCATTTGGGAGGTTCGTGACATGTGACGGCTACGTGCTGATACAGTGAACATGTTTTCGATTACGAGAGCATGCTTTGTTCGTTCGCGAGCCATGATGTGAAACGTGTACCACATGTGCACACGTAAAAACACAACATTGAGCGTAATGATTGCCTTATTATGTTGTAATCTGGTGGCACACTTGAAAAGATAGGTCTGAAGTGTATCTACAACCACAAAAACAAGTTATGGAGTATCTACAAGGTCTGAAGTGTATCTACAACCACAAAAACAAGTTATGGAGTATCTACAATCACAAAAACAAGTTATGTACTGGGGGCAACTGTCCTGAGCCACAGTCCTTCAACGAAAATGCATGCTTTTAATGTTTACTGAAGGCAAAAAAAATTTGAAGTCGGAAAAAATTCAAATTTGTTTTCCTACTTTTTTTGTGATTGTTACGTGCACATTCTCTTAAGAATTCAACTTTTTTTTGTGCTGCAGATGTGCAAGAACACCACTCCGATGTACCGGCCGCCAGAAGTGTTGGACACTTACAACAACTATCCGATCAACGAAGCCATGGACATTTGGGTACATGTTTTATCTTCGTGGGCGCATATATTCATCTTCACTGCTAGGACCCCTTCTGCTGGTCCAAACCATGGTTTTACAAACTAGGTTCCTAGAAACCTACGGTCGGCGACAGGTTAAGAGTTCGGGGAATGCTACTCCCACCTTTTTCAACTTTAGCAGAGCGAATGCAGGAGAAGAGGTACCCCCCTTTCCGGCATTCACTCTGCTAAAGTGGAAAGGGGTGGTAGGAGCTTCCCCTGAACTTTTAACCCCTCTCCAACAAGATGCATTCTTAGGAACTAAGGGGTTCTTTGGTTCTGATGGATCTTTGCAACCTAGGAGTTCTTAGGAACCTGAAGTTTAAGGAACCTAGATGTTTTCAGGAACCTAAGGGATTTTAAGAAACCTGGTGTTTTTAGGAACCGGGTGCTTTTGGGAACCTAGGTGTTTTTAGGTACCTAAGGGTTCTTATGAACCTAGGTGTTCTTAGGAACATGGTGTTTTTTAGGAGCCTAGGTGTAGGAACTTAAGGGTTCTTAGCAATCTGGTGTTTTTAGGAACCTAGGGGTTCTTAGAAACTTGGGGTTTCCAGCTACCCTAAAACCCATAAAAATATTTTTTGGTCACGCACACAGCAGCTATGTTGCGTGCGTGACCTTGGCACGTGCCAACCTTGTGCCTCCCGTCTCTTTTCGACTGCAAGGCGTTGGGTTGCGTGCTGTTCCTGCTCTGCTTCCGGGAGCACCCGTTCCCGGATTCGTCCAAACTGCGCATCCTCAACGCAAACTACAACATCCCGACGACCAACCCGCAGAACGACATGTTGCACGACCTCATACGTGAGTGTGCGCCGTCCTGGACAGAGCGCGTGTCGCTCCCTCCTCTCCTTTCTCGGTTTCTGACAAAAACTGAAAGTGTCAAAAACACAAAACATAGTATCACCTATCACTACTATGCGACTTCACATGTCAAAGGCCCCTGTAACCCAGGGAGCTTCAGAAGCTGAGCAGGTTTTCGTGTCACTCAGATTTTGGAGCACTCCCCTTTAGAACATCAAAGGCAAGAGTATTTTCGAGACTGGAAACTCGTAAACTATGGGGAGGTTACAGAAAGCACTAAAATACAGAGATGGGCTAGTTGGATATGCCTTACGAACAACGAATAGCACAAAGGACAGACAAGGACATGAACACCGACGGGACTGGCGCTATCCCGTCTTTGTGTTCGTGTCCTTGCCCGTCCTTCGCGCTATTTATTGTTTATGAGGCTACGGAAAGGTTACGGCCGACCGAGACGGGACTTCCGGGGTGGTTTGCCAATCAAGGCGGCCATCTCTTTCGGCGGCTGAAATGGTTGCAAGAGAGATTTTTTTATCGTGCAACTAGCTCAGAGGGCAGGAAGTACCTAGCGTTCCGGCCGACTTCGCCTGAGAAGACGTAACCCTTGCGTTTTTCTCTTTAATTCTTGCCTAACATGATCTTTTACAGAAATAACTTTACGTGCCGCTTCTAAAGTACACACATGGGCCTGCGCGTGTGTCTTCTTCCTTGTGTCTGTTGTCGTTTGCGCCTTACACAATGCTTCATAAATGCGGTTCATTAATTTTACTTATATTTGAGACTCTTCGCACTTTTCTTTGCATGCGGAACTGGATTTTAACGGTCTAAGCGAGGACAGACTTACGCCAGCCAAACTATTCCGTGCTGCATAGTCGAGGCTGGTGCAGCCATTACAGTGCTCCAACGCGGTCAAAGCTATTGTAATATCCCGAGATATAGACCTTTTCCGCTTACTCTTGCCCCCGACCGCCAAGTAGGCATATCTGGTATGGGCGATGAAAAAATATCAAAACGTTTCAACCTGAAAATACTAAAAAAAATAGAGGAGGCAAAACGAGAATGTGTGACGGTTACACTTATCTCTTAAATGCCTTCTATCGGCGTGGCGACGGCAAAACAATGTTTTCGCCCATACTGGAAGTGACGACAATTCCAGATGGCGGCGCCCTTGCGAGAAGGGTCTATTTCCCACCTAGAATCGAGAGAAAATTGGGTGTAAATAAGGAGTTGGCTAACTTACGGTGTGCAATCAAGAAAAGTAAAAAAATGCTATTTTTAGATTGTGGGTCCTTGGCTAACTCGTTATCGCGGTGAGGGGCACTGAAGCAAAGGTGACTGTACTTCCGAGTCAAAAACGTTTGTTTATATTCTGCCTTAGCTAACTAGCCTTATTTACACCGTGGTCATCATTGATCCCAACACTATGATTACTAGGAGGGGGCTGCCTTATGGTGCTTAAAAGAAAATAGCAACTCAAGCCAAAAATAGGGGCGGGATACCTTTGGTTGTGGGGCATCTCTCGGGATTTTACGGTACCTGCGCGAGCGTGTCGAGACTAAAGACGAAGCCGCTTGCTCTCGCAGCACCGCGGACGCCACGCTAGCCTCGACGTCGTAGCGGAGGATATTTGACGCGTAGTTTGCACACTTGGTTCTTGCCGAGTGTTCCCATGTCTGGGCTTGTGTGGACCCGTCCCGCTTGGCATGCGTGTCCCCCAGGGGGCATGCTGCAGGTGAACCCGTCCTCCCGCCCCACCATCCACGACGTGGTGGACAGACTGCAGGAGATGGGCGAGGCCCGCAGGATAGACCTGACGGAAGCGCCCGGCCTCCAGGCCGCTGCGGCCGCCCCCGCGCCTCCGGCGAGCCAGGGGGAGGGCGGCGTGCCCCACGGGACGCCCAATTCGGCCCCAGGTATGAACCGCGGTGACGGATCATTGCATTGATGCGGGAAATCTCAATAACGAGAGAGTTTTCACAAAAAATAAATAAATAAATGGGACTGTCGACAAAAAGAAATGGATAGTAAATTGCTACACAATTGTGTTGCATACCTCTAACTTTTATTGGGTACACCATATTAACACGATTAGCACTAATGCATCTAGGTTACTTGAAGCGCAATCTAAAATCTGCGCCCCCTCGCCATCGTAAATTACCTTACGAAACGTATGTCTGCCCGAATTTAGAATATGCATCTACCATCTGGTCCGCTCACCAAACCTGCCTTATTGATCATATCGAATCTTTTCCAAATCGAGCTGCTTGTTTCACTTCATCATTACACTCGCATTTCGACAGCGTATTATTAGTAAAACAAAATTATTCGATTTCCTTGCTGGAAACGCGCCATACAATTGACCTTTTATGCTTAATCCACAGACTATGTTATAGCCCCGGTAGAACTTACTGCTCTCTTCTAGAGTTGCTTTATAAAGAATCACAAACCTTTAACACTAAGAGCTTCAAGCATATTTTTGAGACCACATTAGCATTCAACAATTCTACCTTATTACGTGCCATTAAACTCTGGAACAATCTTTCTGAAGCCATAGTGTCTATTTCTGGTCATAAACTATTTCGGTCAGAGATAGCAACCGTTATTTTAGATAAATAACAGTGTCTGATCCTTTTATCCATTCATTTCTTCTAGGTGAAAGCCAGCTGATTGTGTTTTTTGACCGAATATTAACTGAATATTATACGTCCATGTTTACTACATTTGAGATAATATTGTATATATGTCTGTCTCGTTTCTAAGTTTACGTGGTTTGCATAATATCTGCTTCTGTAAGAACTGTGACTTATACTGATATCTGTGATAATGTGCTGATGTTAATATGCAGTGCGGTATGTGCCATACTTTCTTGTTCATGTTTCTATCCAACTGTATTGCCCCCCCTCATGTAATGCCGAAAGGCCTTTGAGGTACTTTGAACAAATAACAAAAATAAATATGTGAAATATTCTACCTTCACAAACGTTTAGTGATTCACTGAGTTTCCAGATGCCAGTCGCCTTTGTTCATGACGCTCTTTATCAGATGGTTGTTCCAAAAATGAAGCGATACGACCGCTAATCGGGCTGATAAACCCGGCAGTCTTCCAGAGCCTCCCATACTCGTGAGCTCCTCCCCCTCAGTGCGCACAGATGGTCGAGCTCCTCCTCACCTACCCCCTGGTCACATGACCCCTCTTAACCAATTAGCATTGGGCACCTCACTCCCCCCTTCCGCCCGTCAACCAATCTATGTCGAGCCTCACTGCCACACTTTTATCTGGGCTTTACGAAATGCCAAACACCTAGCCAAAGAACTTTTCACATAAAAAAAAATCCGTCAGGCGAACAAAGTGACCCGCACTGACTGTATTCGCTAAGCAGTATGACTGCTTAGCTCATTGGTTGATGGCCACTGATGTTTGGGGACCCCTACTGGGTCAGCAGAAGTGATGGCAGACCCCATCCATTGGGGGAGGAGGGGTGCCTTAGACGACTAAATGACAAAAGGGTGAATAAGAAAAACAACTAAATGCATGCAAACCAGCTTTTGAACTTTGAAACGGAGAATAATGAACCCTAGAGTCACTAAATGAGCTACGCTTAGAGTATCGGCACTCCGTTCCCCGACATTGTTGTGGGCGCCGCCATTTTGGCTCATATGCAGAGCAGACGCAACTGCCGATCGTCATGATTCAAAAGTGCGACTTCCTCGGCATTCGGTTCGGTGTTAGAAAGGTTATGTAACATTGCTTTGCTCTGCCGCGAACTGTTTGAACATTTGTGGAGGGCGGAAAAGCGCTTCCTGTGATTTCAGATAAAGCTTCAGATAACTGGCAACCATGATTTTAAGACACAATATGGCCAAGTGACGTTACTCTGAAGCGTAGCTTATTCAGTGGCACTAATGAACCCTATTCACTAGGAACATATGGTTTGGTCTTCTATTCAGCGTTTCGAAATGGCCCGCGTCAATAAAAAAGAAGTTTTATTGCGTGGCTTGACTGACAGTCAAGGACGGCGGGAACCCTAAGGAGGCCTTCGGGGACCCCAAGGGGTGTGCAAACCCTTATTTGAGAACCACTGGCTGGCATTTTGAATCCCGTTGAGTTGTGGTTGATTATGCACCAGACAGATGGGCCGTTGTGTCAACGGCCACAACTAGAGTGTGAGCACGCATTGTCGCCGAGGTCAACTGTGGGAGGGCATCTACATTTACACTGTGTGACTTGCATATGTAAGCCAAGTTTTGACTGTATATTGCGATTCTGGGAAAAGGGGAAAATAAAACGGCAACAGAACTGCTAGGAAAAGAAGGCGCAACATGCGTCAGTCAAACTTAGGTTTTTTGGAGGCTGCCTCATGCTTATGTCTTTAAAGCTCGTGTCGACGCGAAAGTGATGTGGATTGTTAGTTAGATGTTTTTTCTTTTATTAAATTATCAGTTGAAGTCTAGCGCTTGTCCCCGTCTGCAAATTCCTTGTCTTTGTCATTTGTATGCTGTTTACAGTTGTATCAATATTTGGGATACTTTTTTTTTTTGAAGAACCTACATATGCTTTGAGCACGATGTTCAATAAAAGTAGGCAAAAACAAAGGTAAAAAAAGACAAACAAACCGGAAGTGTGTCGGTGTCCGCTAAAAAGGAGGCTGTAGCAAGTTTGTTTGCAAACAAGTGCAGTGAATAGGGAAACTCTAGCATAGCCCAAGTGGTGGTTCTTTTGGAAAAATAGTGGACAGTTAGGGGCCTTTTAAGAAACAACCATTGTTTTTGTGCAAACGAAGTAAACTATAGTGAAAAAGAAAAGAGACGTTTGGGAAGGTATTGGCAGAGTGGCCGTCACCCACTGGTAGGAAGACATGACGCTTTTTTTCTTTTCATCTCACTGGCAACTCAGTGACGGCGCCGACGCGACCGGCTCCCGCAAGGCCAGCGCCTACGAGGCCAGCTCCCGCCAGGCCGGCACCACCCGCGGGCCTTGCGTCGGGCCAGCCTCCGGTCGTGCAGCAACCGGCAAACACCCAGCTGCCAGAAGCCGGGGGCTGGGGCGCGGGCAGCTCAGGCCTCCTGACGTCCCTCCGTGGGGGCGCAGGAAGCCTGCTCAAGCGGCTGGGGGACACCTCTTCCAAGGTCATGCAGATGGCCCAGCAGTAAGTGATGGATGCACGTTCCTTCTTATATTCCACCTTCCCTCCCTCCATCTTATTTCTTTCTCACTCATTTTTCTCAGTTCTTTCGTGCCTCTCTCTTTCCTCATTCATTTTAAAGCAGAACGTGTTTGTTGGTTGGCTTCTAAGCCCAAGAGCTTCATGATAACACGGCCAGTTTTCTGTGCAAGAATCACTTTGTCCCTTGGCGGGAATCAAACCAACAAACTCTCGGTCAGTAATTCAATGCTCTGCCCCTGCTCTGCCGGAGCGGCTGAAAAGAGCGCTATTTAATCTATATATATCTATTTCTCTGGCTAAGGTATGTAGATGGCAAAACAAAAACGACGAGAAACAAGTTAACACAGTTGTAGAATACGCAAGTTCAACAGTGCTGAAAGCTAGAAACTTCTTAGTAAATCTAGTAATATTTTTTTATGACAATTTCGTTCAGATATGATGTTTCTGTCTTGTATTTTGTTTCACCCCTCCCTTTTGTAACGCATCCAGGCTCAAGGGGTACCAAGACAAATAAAGTTAAGAACTAATGAAGCTCAGCTATGCTGGTGTGAAGCGACTGGTGTTGCAAGGATTTTGTTTACCCCCACCAATATTAGTTTTGGCAGTAACATATTTTTCAAACTTCCTTTGCAAGTTTGGGCCTGTCGAGTGGTTGGTGAGGAAGTGCTTTTTTTTTTTAATGTTTTCTCAAAGCATTATTTGTTTGTTTCTTTTTTTTTTCTTTTTTTCAGAACAATGGGAAAATCGGATTTGGACTTCAACTACATCACCAGCCGGCTTGCAGGTGACTCTCTTCCCTTCTCTGAGGGCACTGCACTTGATTGCACCTCATAGGAATGTGAAATCTGCTTCTTTTTTAAAAAGGTCACAAGTTTTCTTTGCAATGAGCTATGGAATCAATGAGCACTCGCAACATTACATTGCTATGAAAACATCGAACAAGCCACAAAATTTTGGTTATTTGGCACACATTTTTTATTAATAATTTCCGATCGCAGCAGCTTCGTTGGGTAAGCTGCCAAAACATGCAGATGCTTCCACAACTACTTCCAGAGGCACCTTAAAAGGATGTGACAACCCCCCCCCCCCCCCCCCAAAAAAAAAAAAAAAGAAATATATACATATGTATGTTTTTGCACAAAACATTTTATATATAGTACTGGGGTGTGACATCTGTGCCAATTGCGCCATTTTGATACAAACCCAATTTTCTGCGCCTAGTTGTGCCAAAAACGCGAAATCGGTTGAAATTGCGCCACACTGCTCCAAAGTAACTAAAAACTAAAAAAAGAAAAAAAGTTTGGGCGACGCTAGATTAAGCGGGAAACGAGAGCTTGGTTGGCAACATTCAATCTTGTTGTAGTAAAGTGCACGGGTACAGGCTGGCGCAAGCAACCGCCAGATTCAAAGATTTCAGCTGTAGTATGCTTCTATATTTATTATACATGGTCTTTTCACGATTTTCCTACTACTTTCCGCTGTCATTTTTGACTGCATGCGGACGGTGTGCTGTCAAACTGTCTTGCTGTCTGGCTGTCTGGCTGCGGGAGGTACGACGCACAGGCTATCAAAGGCACGTAGCCAGAGGGGGGGCTTTCATTTTGCTGGGGCCTCCTCTCTCCCCTCCCCCTCATCAGAATTTTGCCATAAGCCCCCCCTCCCCCCCCCCCCCTTGAAATCAAAATTCTGGCTACGTGCCTGGGCTATCAAGATGATCAAACCTAAGTATTTTTTTCGTTTTGAGAGTAAACCTTTTCTTAAAAGTGCTATTGAGCGCCTTCATTATGTAATTGTTCATTCGTGTCCGTAATCTCGTCAAAATGGACGGCGCCGTGGGCATGAGTACTTTCGGTTTTCGCACACGTGCTTCCAGTGCGTAGGCAATTGAATGAATCGGTCACACACCCGTATTTAGCGTGCATGTGCTGCTCATAATCTTTCTACCAATTCATTATTTACTTTGTGACTCCCTTTTGTGGGGAGTTTTTTTTTGTTTTATCTGTACGTGCTTTCTATGAGCGTCCGATTGATGTCTGGTTGTAGTAAACCGTGCTTCCCTGTTCATGCTCTCGAATCACCACTTTAAAAGGTTTTGCACTAAAATTGCGCTTTGGCGCCAGTTTGTATAATCTTGAGGTACCTGGTGTCCACCTAACTTTGCAGCAAGCCTGTGTTTCCTGTCCTTGTCTATGCGCATGAAACTCGCGTTTGCCTTTCCCGTTTTTTTTTCTTTTATATTTTATCTCGGTGTGTATCGGCGCTGATGTCTTATTAAAACCAGGGTCGACAAAAATATTGATTAAAAAAATAAAAATCTGATTTATGTGATTTATATTAGATTTTTTATGATTTAAATTGCTGATAAGTTGCTCTAACATTTTCTGCTCCAAGCTGTAGACTTTTTTGCTGCGAAGTTGCTCCAGAATGCATAAACTACTGCTCCAAAACGAGAATATTGTGCTCCTAAGCTGCTCCAAAATCCAGATTTTTCTGCTCCAAAAATTGCTCCAAAACGTGTTTCACCTGTCTCACCCCTGATAGTATGAAGCACAAACCACAAACAGCTTGTCAGATGTCCTCCAACTCGTATGCCTCCCATTTGTCACGTCCCATGTATCTCGAATGGAGTGTGGCGTCCAGGTATCACGAGCTCATCAGAAAGTGCACACAAGGATCACAACATTTATTTTAGGGGCGAAGCTCCTTAGGGTCTAGCCTTGTACGGCGTCCGTGCTCACATCGATTGCCACCCCATCTGTCTTCTTAAAAAAAAGAAAAAAAAATGTTTGTGCAGTCGACAGGATTCGAACCTGTGGGGGGGACCCCAATGGATTTCTAGTCAATCGCCTTAACCACTCGGCCACGACTGCGGGACGAGTAGGGGGCTCTTGAGATGTGGTAGTAACTCAAGAGCTGGGGTTTCTGTCATGGATGAAACATTGCATGTAGCCGCTCAACGTCTATACAGGAGAGGGTGCTGCGGTCAAATGCGTATATAATCGTGTTAAACATTGCATGCATTGGCTCAACGTTTATAGACAAGAGGGCGCTGCGGTCAAATGCTCAAATGTGTATATAACCATGTTCCATACCACACATTCTCCTTCTGACATGGACCGTTGACTTAAGCGGTGGAGATGCGTTCCCACGGCTTCTAGCGGATCCAAGCTTATCCGCTAGAAGAACCACTCACTGGCTCTGCATTTCACCGACCATAAAGCAGTAATGAAGTCGAAACGCAACCCGGAACTCAGCACTACCCATGAGCAATAAAAAAAAATCAGCACTGCCTATGAACAATAAAATCAGTATCATCAGCACCACCAGAGCTTCGTCCCAATCAACATCATTCACCACGTAGAGATGCAGTCATTTTTGTGTTCCATAAATAAATCAAATGATTGATTGTGATTAATTAATTGTTTGATGTACAATTTTATTGATTGGTGTATTAATTTATTAAAGTGTGTGAATTGATTTATGAACCAAATAATTGATTTAATATGGATGGATGAATTGATTGATACAATTGTTTATACATTATTAATTGATGGATGATTTGAGTGAGTGATAAATGAATTTGCTGATAATGAAATGAAGGATGACTTGATTGACAAACTAACCTTTTGATCACAATATGGATGGATGAATTGATCGATAAATGAAATTAGGAATTATTGATCAATAGATAAATTGATTTACTTATTAATTTGTTGACAAATTGATCGATAAAATGATATCTGAAGTAATTGATGGATGAATTGCTTGATTGATAGAATTGTCTAAATTGATTGATTGATTAGGTAATGTCTGAATTGGTTGAGAAAATTGTCTAAATTGATTGATGAATGAATTGCTTGATTGATAAAGTTATGTCCAAATTGATTGATTGATAAAAAAGATGGTTTAATTGCTTGATGGATTGGTAAATGACTGCTTGGCCGTCGCAGTGATGTCGTACCCGGCGGAAGGGCTGGAGTCTGCGTACCGCAACCACGTGGAGGACGTGCGGGGCATGCTGGACGCGCGCCACCGAGGCCACTATGCCATCTACAACGTGTCCGGGCGGGCCTACTCCTCGGCCAAGTTCGAGTGCAAGGTTACCGAGCGGGGCTGGCTCCCCCGCAAGGCCCCGCCCCTCCACACGCTCTTCTCCCTCTGCCGCAGCATGCTGGGCTTCCTCTGCCAGGACGCGCGCAACGTTTGCGTCGTCCACTGCCTCGTGAGTCATGTTGCTGCCGTTGTGCCAACGCCTTCTGGCTATGACGTCTCGTCCGAGTTTCCTGATTTGCCTCCTCTATCTCGTGTCGACATTTCGCGATGCTCTATAGGCTTAAAAACCATCCCTAAAATGCATTTCGCGTTATTGAGGCCACAGTGCTGCTTCTTCTACACCACCAGCTGGAAGCCAGCGCAGGAAGGAGATTGGACTTGAGTGCTACGTCATTGTTCGGTTGGGACTTAAGTCTCCTAGCCATCTACTGACATGACACCCGTGTGTTCGATCATGTACGGTGCAGTTGGTGCTTTCAGATGGTCTAGATTTCCATAGGGCAGCAGCAGTTTCTCGGACACCTTTTTGTCTTCGAGGGCAACGACGAGCCGATCTCGACTCCTCTCAAAGGACTCCGTAACTGCACTTGTCTACCAGCACATGCAACGCCGCAACTAAGTCTTCTGCGGACTTGCCGTCTCGCGGAACCCAAGCGTTGAGGTGTGCTCTTTCAGAAATTACGTTCTGACAGGGAACGAAGTGGGTGTCGAACTTGCCGAAGGCTACCGCAAACTTTTTCCGTTCTGCGTCGCCGAGCTTGAATGCATTTAGCACGTCTTCTGCTTGAATTCCCGTCGGGTGACTCAGCACAATGACTTGGTTGGCTTCTGACCTCGTGTCTCGATGCCGTACGGTAACAAAGATATTGCTTCTTTTACGTCATCCAATCGTTTGGGTTCGCAAGGCCAGACGGCTCCGCCGGTTTGATCTGAAAGGACGTGGTCTCCGGCTTTGTTCTCGACTGCGTACCAGAGGCTCAGCTGTGGCCGGACGTACCGACGCAGCCGACCATCGGCGAGTCGGGAGCTTGAAGCGTGGCTATCGTTGACCATAGTCGCTCGCAGCTTACTGGCTGCCTTCTGACACCATGTTCAATTCTGTACAGAACAGACAGGAAGAACGACGTAGCTGGCAATCAGCTCAACGAACGAAGTGCGGATATTTCCACGTTTAGAGCCCAAACGTACAGTATAACACATAATGTGCAATTTCCGGCCGCCGCCCGCCTCTATTAGGTGACATGGAAAGTCGAGCACTATGGCTTTGGTACCTAAGAAGTGTTGCGTCTGCGCTTCTGCGACGGACTTGGGGGGGAGGAAACCGGAAAATGGCTTTCTGGCTTCTCGGCAGACGATGGACCCGGGGGGCTCTCCTTCTTTCAGGACGGCAAGTGTTCCTCGGCCGTGCTGGTGTCGGCATTCCTTGTCTTCTGCCACCTGTTTGACACTCCCGAGGAAGCCCTGCAGATGTTTGCCGTGCGCCGGTGTCCCGTCACCCTCTTCCCCTCGCAGCTCAGGTATTGGTTTTCTCCTTTTCTCTCGTTGTTTTAGAGTCGCACGGGCCTGTGGCCCGAATTGGACAGCGGCAAGGGCTGCTGAGAGCTGCGAGAAAGAGCTGGTGCAGACTGTTTGAGCGTGAAACATTTTTTGGCTAGGTGTTTGGTGTTTCGTGAAGTCCAAAACTGAAGCCTGGATAAAAGCGTGGTCTCAAGAGTCTGCACTGATTGGTTGGCAGGTGGGAGAGGAGGAGTGAGGTGCCTGATGCTGGTTGGTTAACGGGGAGGCCACGTGACTAGGGGAGTAGACGAGGGGGAGCTCGACCACCTGTACGCACTGAGGAAGAGGAGCTCCCGAGTATGGAAGCTCAGATCGCCAGGTTTATCAGCCCGATTAGTGGTTGTATTGCTTCATTCTATAATTGGTGATCGGTTAAGAGTTGAGAGGTAGCTCCTCCAACCTCTCTCCCCAATGAAGGAGCGAATGCTGGAGAGGAGGTGGCCTCCTCTCCGGTGTTAGATCTGCTAAGGCGAAAAGAGGTGGGGGGAGTTTCCACTTTACTCTTAACCTGTCTTGAGCTAGAGGAACAACCATCAAGTGTACACATGGCAACCGTTAAACTATCTGACGAAGATTGCCGTGAACGTAGGCATCTGGAGTATGGAAACTCGGCGCCTCGCTAAACGTTTGTGATGCTAGAACGTTTCACGTCTGCAACATAATTGACTAGCAATTTGCCATACATTTTATAGCAGATATAATTGCTTCCCGCTATACGGAGAGCAAATCAGCCGAAGCGCGTCTCTTTGTGCGTGAAAGAGGAAGCACAATAGGAATTGAGGGTGTTTGTTCACGTGTGCAATCAAGCTCCTCTCCGGCGGACATCATTTTTTTAGTGGGTGAACAATGTCTCGGCAGTGAGAGTTCCTTGTGTGTTGTAGTGCCTCTGGTAGTTGTCAGTTGACAAAAACAATGTTCCTTTTGAGGCATGTTCTCTTCCCTTTTTTGAAGGCAAAGTCCTCTCGTGCAAAGAACTGTAAGAAACCAGATGGCAGCAGAGAAGGATTGTTCCAGCACCCACATGCAGCAGTCCTCCAATTAGAGCTTGGCAGCTTGCTCTCGCTGTTTGCCCGCTGCGCGAGGAGCGGACGCAATTGCTTGCTGTAGTACGGGGAGTTCCTGAGAAAAAAGAAACATGTTTTTTGCCCTAGGTAAATAAACCATGCATCGCAGAAAGCTTGAACTCCACGAGAATGTGGCGTTAGCAGTTGGGATAGAACGCGCAATTTTGAGAGCATGACGTTACCTGGATCAAATGATACTTGAGAAAAAGGAAATTTCTCCATGAGCCGACATCCATCTTGGCCTAATATCGTCAAAACAAGTAAATGACATTGTTGCTGCCTGTAGCATCTATTTCCCTGTAAAAACACTTATCAGCAAGAAAGAAAAAAACATTTTTTTTCTTGCTGATAAGTGTTTTTCACTAATATAAATTCCACGAGCGACCGCAATGTCAGTTCTTGTTTTGACGATATTAGGCATAGGTAAACGTGAACTTGCTAAAAAAAAGAAGTAATTTTTCCTTAGTTATTTTTTGGGCAGTTTGATACCTTAGACCCATGTTACGGATAAAAAAAACGGGAAGCGGGATGGCCAAAAAACATGGTTTTCGTTTAAGGCTTGTCAAATTGGCAGCGATGCCAGGCGCGTTCTAAGGCAATTCCCGCATGCTTTTCTATGGGCGGAAGGCGAACAAAAAGAGTTTGAAATAAGGACTTGACGCAGAAGGCTGCATTTCTCCAGCGCCTCATAATTTGACGAGCCTTAAACGAAAAGCATGTTTTTTTGGCCATCATGCTTCCTGTTTTTTTTTTATCCGTAACATGGGTCTAAAGTATCAAACTGCCATTTTTTGTTCCAGGTAAATGTCATGTTCTGAAATCTTTGCGTTCCACCCCAACCACTAACGTCAAAATCTCACTGAGTTTTAGCTTTTTGTAATGCATGCAGTACTAATCTCTTGTTATAACAAAGTTGACGGGACGGCAAAAAAATTCAATTTAAGTGGTAATTCGATAAAAGCGATCTAGCCAAAAAAACTGTGCCAGCAGCCTTGAAGGTGGAAGGTGGATAAGAATATTGTGGAAAAATGAGACCGTATATTTAATCAAACAAACCTTGGTTATGAACATCCCGCGGCAGCTTTACTGAGGAAAAAGATAATTAAGTGGAGTTTGCCGATAATTTCATCCGGCCATCAGTTCTCCTCGAACTGCTTCAAGCATCGCAGGAACACTGTCACCGCCGCTGCACTCCACTTTGTTTCGAAGCATCCGTAAAATGTTTCACATATCCACAGTCGTCGGTGTTTCCCGAGGTGCCTCTCTGACGTCGCTTCGTGTTTACCCTGGCTGCACGCAAGGTCTATGATCGCAGCATCTGTGGCAGGAGCAATAACAGCAACAACTGCATCGACAAGCACGAAGGGATCAAAGTTGTCCTCGGTGGCTTTGCACTCCTGTAGAGATTGTTGCAGCAATGGAAATTGTACGCTGGCTTGGCTAGCATGCTCACAAGAAAACATCTGTTGTGCACAAAGCTGTTGGCAATCTTTCACCTTCGGGTCGCAGGCGCGCTTTCTCCTGTATGAGAAACTTCTCGAACCCGTCCAATATGCCTTGCTTGTTCCGCAAAGTGGTGGACAGTGTCGAACAGCCGATGCTGCAATGTCGAATCCTATGGCCATTTAGGACTTAGGCTGGCCATTTTTCTCAACCTCGCAGACCTAAGCGACTTTCGGTAAACACGTCCAATTCCTCATACGACGCACGTGTGCATGTAGTACGCCACAGGTGCATGCATCGGGGGCTTTCGAAGGGATGATCTCCTCCGGGTTCTATTGCTCCCTTGACCTGATTCTGTCAGCAGTCGGGCAGCATCAGCTGCGAGCACCGTGAGTAGCGTCAGAACGTTGACGCTGCTCTTGCTGCTCCGTGCCCGCTTTCCTGCATCGGCGCATGAGCATCGGAAGCGGCTCTCTGCCAGTTGTGCGCGCTCTGCCCTCCGTCGCCCGTTTACTCTGTTTTCCCGGTTTGCTGTTTGCCTCAATGAAGAAGGGGGAGGGAACACAAGGGTTTCCCATGCACCTCCATGTAGTCATGCATGCTTTCGGCATTGCGGCCTTCGTAATAAGCGTGGTCGGCCGCCGATACACTTAGAATAATCCGGTTAGAAATCCGTGCATTTCGGTCGGGACGATGTTGAACTTCGATAAAAGTGATCATTCAAGTGAAGCGATTTCGTTATAATGAGGGATTACTGTAGCTTATTTACCTGGGCCGAAAAAACTCTATTTTTTCTTCCCGGAACCTCCCTGTGTATCAAAGTATTCATGCAACCGATTGTGCTTCTTCTCTTTGTGTGGGTTTGCTTGTGTTGTTGAAGCAGCGTTCCTTTTTTGTACGACCTTGCAGGTATATTCGGTACCTCTCCCAGATGGTTTCCAAGAATCAGCCAGTGTTGCCGCATCGGTTTCCTATGCACATCTCTGCTGTTACCGTGAAGCCTGTGCCACTCTTTACAAAGCTCAAGTGAGTCCTCATTGTTTTTGTTTTTAATATACAAAAGCCAGCGTAGTCAATGACAATGACGTCATGGTGTTATAGGGTTCTGTCAGCTCAGCCTTAGTTTTCTGCAAACATATACGTTTATTTATCATTTGCAAATTTAACCAAGCGTGAAAAGGCATACTAGGACTGTAGCCGTCTTTGAGTAATAGGAGCTAGCCCCTTTGTCAGTTTAACTAGACGTTTCAAAAAGGCTGGTTCTTACAGGCATGTTGACTCTTCTGATTGGGTTGTCTGCTTGAAGTTTGGACTACAGAAGGGTTAGCACATGCTGCATATAGAGTTACCTGCTCAAGTATAGAGTTTTTGTGTTCATCATAAAGTGAAATTTCCACTATCTTTCTACCAATTTCAGCTGTAAAGTGCAAACAAACATTGCTGGTCAGACATTGCAAGTGATACCTTTGCAAACATAATTAACTCGTAAAGTTATCACCTGGAGGGCCCCTCTAGGACTTCCTTTTTACAAAACGCACAGGCAGAAGACGTCCATCGACGAAAACTAAAAATGATTGCTGTCTAAATGCACATTCAACAGTGTCTGGTTAGCTGGCGTCATTGGAACAGGTCCATTCCAACTCCCACCTGAGGGGTTGTCTTAAGCCTCCACAATCCAATCCAATCCAAATCCAATCTGGTCTTCTATCTGGAATGTCACCATTTTGCAGGGACGGATGTCGGCCCTTCGTCGAAGTCTACCTCGGAGAAGAGCGGTTGCAGACTACCTGCCAGGAATACGACCGCATTCCGTAAGCACACTTTTCTCGGTTCCGTCGCGACCCCCATCGATCGCGGCGTTATCGCCATTGTCCAATTTGTAAATTGACAAACTTGGTGATTGACGAAGTTGGTGATTGATTTTGCTTCTCGGTTTCATCGCAAAGGCACCACAACTTCACGGAAAAGCAGGTGACGATACCGCTCAACGTCGCTGCGGCCGGAGACCTCACTGTTGCCGTCTACCATGCGAGGTCGTCCTTTGGCAAGGTGGGCCCACAACCCCGGCTGAATTTTCCAAAGAATTTTCGGTGAAGTTTGTGTGACGAGATCTGAGCGTGTTGACAGATATAATTGTGTTCAGCGAAAGACTTCGTGTTACGTAACATAACCTTAAAAAAAAAAAAAAAAACTAGAAAGAGATTTGTTTTTTACATTCAACCACATATTACATGTTATTCCGTCCGCCTCTGAGCAGAAAAGCTTTGCACTCGCCGAACCGATGAACCACCTTCCTTTCTTCACCTCAATCTTTCTTTCTGTGCACAAGAATGAGCAGGAGCATGATCACATTGAGAAAAAGCGTAGTTAGCTTTTATCGCAAACTTGTGCCACAAAAAAAAAAAAAGGAAACAAGAACGAGCATTAAATTTTTAGCAGTGATTGTCGCACGTCAGTGTGACAGCTGGGTGGAGCGATACTGCGAGAGAGAGTGAGTAGGCAAGGCCACGCTTCTTCTACACTAGGGGTAAGAGTACACTCAAATCTTCTAGAAGTACGGAGAAGCGTTCTTTCAAGGTCATGCATAAGCAATAGTTTTAAAGCCAATGTATTTCTAAACCCGTGTCATAGTTGTTTAAGGTAGTCTTTGTGGGAGCATGACTGCGACGCCGAGGGCGGGTGTTGAGGTGTCCGTCGGCCAGCGTCTCTCGACGACTTTTGTCGACGATGGCGACGTTGTTTCCTGCAGGTGATGCCTGTAAAAATCTGCCAGATTCAACTGTACTCTGGATTCATTGCCCCGGGAGCCAAGCAAATCACCTTCTGCAGGTCAGTGCCAGTTTTATCCCCACTAGAGCCACTAAATGAGCTGCGCTTAGAGTATCAACACTCCGTTTCCCGACATTGTTGTGGGCGCCCCCATTTTGGGGCCTGTGCAGAGCATACACAACTGCCGATCGTCATGATTTAAAGGTGCGACTTCCTCAGCATTAGATTCAATGTTAGGGAATTTATGTAATATTGATTCTCTATGTATCGAACTGTTTAATCATTTGTGGAGGGCGGAAAAACATTTCCTGTGAATTTAGATAAAGCTTCAGATAACTGGCAACCATGATTTTAAGACACAATATGGCCAAGTGTCGTTACTCTGAAGCATAGCTTATTTAGTGGCACTAACCCCCACCCTATATAGGGTATATATATATTTTTTTTTTTATATTCATACGTTTTAGATTTTACTATCAAAACCAGTTTTTGGTTTTGATAGTAACGCACATGTAGTTTTTGGGCACCGATTGTGGCGAAAAAAACTGTGCGGTAGAATCGTGGAAACGTGTAGAGTTCTGCATTTTCTGAGTTTATTTTTGAGCAAACGTATTCTGTCTAAAAATGACTGTAGTCACACTGTTTAAAAACTTCGTCCAAATTGCGATCTAAAAACATACTTTTCACATAAGGCTCATAAAAATATTAGACCCCGGAGAAAATCGTCCGTCTGCGTTAAGTCCCTATTCGAAACTCTTTTTGCTCACATTCCGCCCATTGAAAGTGCGGCGAAAGAGAGGCGGGAACACACTCGATCTCACCTCCCCGCCGTCTACTTCCGCTTCCATGCCTGAACCCTAAACTTTGCCCACCGAGCAAACGGCCACAGATATCACATGGAAGCAGATCTTCACACATTCTGCTCTCACCACTCTTTGTCAGCACGATCGAACTTGTAAACATTTTTTTTTTCTACGTATAGTAGCGACACTGGCACCCGAGCACAGTTACAATGGCAACTTCGCATCTCGTCCCCCGCTCGGCAGGCACGAAATGGACGGCATCGAGGAGCTGGACCGCTACCCGGAGGGCTTCACGGTGGTGCTGGACGTGCAGCTGGGGGACACGCCCAGCCCCAAGCTCACCAACGGGCTCTGGGCCGACCTGGAGCACCTGGAGACCAACGCCATGCTGCTCTTCAGCACCGACGACGAAATGGAGGCCTGCGTCAGTGAGTCGGGGCCCCAGTTTCGTCCAAGATGGCGCACGTCGGCGAAGTTTTCGAGTGGGGACACTCTAACCGACGTTATTAGATCTAATCGGTTGTGGAACTCCGCTGCGGTGGGCTAGAAGGGGCGGTGTCGCGATCGCTCGCTTCTGCCAGCGCCCGAGAGCAGTCCCACACTTCGTGCCTAGTGCGTCGCCGTCGTCATGCTACCATCTGTAAGCCGGTAGCAGTGTCGTAACATTATAGACTAGTTAATGTGTGGAGCAGGTGTTAGAGACCGAGCGTTCCAACGACACGCCCTGCCGTTCTCGTTTCGTCGGCAGCCATAGCAGACGACGTTGAAAAACGTGCCGGCAGCTCTACCGCTGCAAAACTTCAGTTGCGGCTTCAAGTGCTATCCGTTGTCCAGCATCTACTCAAAGTCCCGCAACCAAATGGATTTAGTAACGCTGGATGTACTCGATGGGGCCACAGTCGGAATCACGTGGCTGTCAAAGAAGGTCTACAATTGATGCGATCGCCAGGCGGGGCGTCGTAGTGCTCTGTTGCACAACAACCAACCCTTTTTGTTTTCAGTTCGAGAGACGGAATGACCTTCCGTTTTGTCTTCCGGGATAAGGGTGTGTCATAAGTGGGGTCGTTTGTTTGGGGTTCTATATCTGTATTTCTGGAAATTCGGAGAAGGGGAGAAACATAGAAGTTGAGCGTTTATTTTCGAGGTGATAATTGATGTGAAATCAGCCTTCCCTAGTCATCATTTCCATCTCTCGCACTGAATTTCTTTGGGCTACACTACTGGCTTTCTGGGAGAGCCGTTCGTTTCACAAGAAAAACTGTGTTAGCAGTGCATACAGGACGACGACAGTCTTCTGGTTAACCACAAAGCAAAGGATCAACTTCTTATCACAGCCGACACGGTATTTTAGCGCAAGCTTGAATCCAATTAGAGGTGCAGTGCAATGGCGGTCATTAATGTGATTGTCCTTCCTCGCCAATTAACTGTTTTGAATGTGAACGTTCAGCAGAGATCTGTCTGGTTGGGTGGATTGATTAAAAAAGGAGGACATCCGACTAAGCCCTGGTTGGGAACCTTTGGTGTAGCCAGGAACTTTTTTGGGAGTGGGTGCTGAGATGGCTAAATGGGTTGGCTGGATTTAGGTTTGGGGAGGGGAGGGGAGGGGAGGGGAAGGGAAGGGAAGGGAAGGGAAGGGAAGGGAAAGGAAAGGAAAGGAGGGAGGGAGGGAGGGTTCAAGCATATAAGCCCCTCCCTTTTAACGTTGAGGATTCTCAACATTGAAACTAACCCCCGACAGACAATTCTTGGAATCGTGGCACATACAGACTACACCAGAAGACATAGATAAAACCCTCAGCACATTACCGTCTGCCTACGTCTGTGGGCTTCGAGACATCACCAACTCAAGAAGAGATGGACCACCGTAAAAGCAGAGAAGAGTTGAGTAGGCTTCGAAAAGTAGGGTTCTTTTAGAGCTTTATTGGACGTTGTTCTTTTCTTAATTAACTGTCTGGTGTGGACGTCAGCCACGTGGCAGCCCCTGATGCTCCGTTGCTTTCGCAGGCCACTTCTCGAGGAACGTTCCTCCCCGGCCTCCCCCTCCTGCCACCCCCAGCCTGCCAAGCAGGGAGACGTCTCCGCAGCGCTCGGAAGGGGACGTCGTCAGCCCCGTCACGTCGGCCGAGGTAAGTTCCATTGAGAACTCTGTTTGCTTGCACTACGAGATGTAAAGCAGACCACCACTTGCTACGAAACCCATATAGCTTTAGTCTTAGGTACGGAAGTTGAACCATGGGGTGAGTGTGCTTCCCGTTCTACATACTTAACTGACCACAAAGCCGTGTTGTGTGTGATTGAGGAGATCGGTGGTTCTCGACCATCTATGCTTTGTGGATCGGCACTCCATGATAGAGGACCCTGTTCATGGTGAGGGGAAGGGAAAGGTATAGGTTAGTTATGATAATGATTTAATAAATGGATATAACTGAAGGCTAGTGTGAAGTGGACTTGTCTCATTGACATACACACGAGAAAACTCACCCGAAAATTGAAATGTTTCTTCTCAATTAGAAAAAAAGACAACTTTATTGACAGGCCTGACTGATGAGGCAGGGCTTTGCGGACCCCGAGATTACCTTCGCAAACCCCCGGAGGGTTCGCAGACCCCCATTTGAGAGCCACTGGAGCAGATAATGAGGGAATGTGCATAAAAGTGTGCTTAACACTGCAAAATAAGAGCTGTCACCATCACCTCTTTGCACGCTGTGGTGAAGATCGGTGGATTAATTTGTCGGCGCCGCAGAAACTATGCTGGCTTTGACATTAGGGGCGTGCAAGTAGTGGTTCGAATCGAATGGTGCCGTGTCGTCCGTAGCTTCGACGGTGCTACCAGAGCCACTTGCCACAGCTCTCCTTTGCACTGTCGAGGCTAGATACGGCGCAGCGCCGTTCGATTAGACTTCACACAAAGACGTCGACGCCGAGCGTAAGAACGCCGTCGTTTACCGTGCAGAACTTGTTGGGGGAAGGCGCCAAGGACCGGCTGGAGGCAGCGGCTCCGGCGGCCGCCGACGGAATGGCGCGGCGCCCACCCCGGGCCAAGGAGGTAGACCTGCTGAACCTAGCGAGCTTCTCGATCGACGACGGGGCGCCTGCAGACCGCCCGAACAGCACGGTGGACGATCTGCTTGGTTCGTCACCCTCGACCGGCGCTCCGCCGGGGTCGCGTCCCACGTCCAACTTCGACCTCCTTGTCAATCATGGGGTGCGTTGTGACCGTCGCTTCCTGCCCCCTTTCCGCATTCTCTCTCTCTCTGTCTTCCTTTTTCGACGCAGAATGTATTGTGTTGCTTTAAGCTCGAGGGATCCCCATAAATTTGTTTTCGATGGCGGTTCAGGAACCCATTCCTGTTCCGTCGTCGACCCGTTTAAAGTGGCGCGAAAGGTTACGTACCTCGTAAACGACGATACAGACAATGAGGATAGTTTGGTCGATAGTTATGCACCAGTGAGTGGCACAGACCTGCTAAAAGGAGTGTTTGAACTAGAAAAAATGCTTCACTTGGGGGAGATACGGTTGAGAAATCTGTGACGAGGGAACCTCTGAGTTCCTGAGAACCCAGTTTGAGAACCCATACTGTAACATGCTGCTGTAACAGAAGAGAATTGCACGAGCACTGCATCAGAGTTTTTCACAATGTCATGGTGTCATCGGATGTAGTAACGTCGGGTGTCGAGTCGTGGCATAACTTGACATTGGGTCGCGTGATGTCGGACCACGACACTAACCAGTTACACAGCTTCGTTCCTTTGTCAATCTGGTATGTTTGGGTGATAGATCGAAGGGGCGCTTCAATTTCTTTACAGCCGACGCAGCAGCCGTTGATCGGTGACCTCTCGGGAGCTCCTGCCTTCGACCCCTTCGCGGGGAAAGGCACCGCAGTCCCCACGGTGAATCTCCTGGAGGCCAAGTCCCCCTCCGGGGCTGCCAAGGGGGACGACCCTTTCGACCCCTTCGGGACCGCGAGCTCGGCAACGTCAGTCGCCACGGGTTGGGCCAACAGCAGCCTCAGCGCCGGGAACACGCCTCAGGTTCGTTTCATTTCTGACATTCTCTTCGTGTCTACACCTCCGGAAACTTGCATCGTCTACGACTGAGCTACACCGAAGGAAAGCGTGAGCGGTCGAGGTTGTTTTCACGTTGAGTTAAGCTTGTTTCTGTCCTGTGCTAGATTTGGCTGCCAGAAGTCAAGAACAGGTTGGGAGGGGGAGGGGGGTCATTTTGTCACATACGTGTCCTGTCCGGGCAGTGAGCTGGGCACAGGTTGTGTATCTGTAACGTCATGCGACTTTAAGAGGTCATATTATGGTGTAACGTGATCTCCTGAATCATGGTCTCATTGTACATGACTGTATGAAATGCAACGGTGAAATCTGGCACTGGAACGTAACGCTGCAACACGACGGTTTTTTTCCACGAAATTTGTGTCGAATTCGGCTGATTAATCACGTCCCGCGTTAAAACGTCTTTAGCAAGTTCGTTGTTCGTGGCTTCACTCTAACATTGCTCCGGGAAATGAACATTGTTTCGAGCGCCCCATCCTCACCTGTACGGACGCATCCGCGCCTTTTCCTCCCGCAGCACAAGCAGGGCGGTATCCCGAACAGTGTTTCGGCCTTCAATGTGGCCAGCCAGGCGTCATCGTCCGCCTCCGGGATGCATGACACCATGCCGGGAACCTGGGACACCCTCTTTCCGGGCAGCACCTGGGTGCCCCTGGTGCCCTCGGCCCCCGGAGGTGCTCCTGGGCCTGGCGGGGGCGGCCTCACGCGCAACGCCTCAACCCCGAACCTTGAGGCCCTCGGGCGCAAGAACGACCCTTTTGCAGATCTGGGTGAGTCGGCGAGAGCTATCGGTCGGTGAACAAGCATAGGTACGCTGTCATTGTGCGCATTAAATAAGCTACGCCAAAGTCCTTCTATATGCTACCGGTCGCTAAACTTCTCCGTGACACTATGGGGAGAGCTGGGTACGCGACCACGCGTGGCGCCGGTGTCAACAAGGGGGCTGAGAGCCACCGGTCTATCCAGCACTGCTGGGAGTCTGGCAACCGGAAAGTGGTATCGCAATTTCGGCCTCGCTTTGAACAAGCCACTAATAGAATGCGGTGATGGGTCGTCGCACTGACGGCGTTTCTCGTTGAGGGAGGACACTAGTACCTGGGAATATCAACTCTTGAACCACTCACTCAATTGCCGTGAAATATGCTGGTGGTGTTTACAGTATAGACCACTTACAACGTAACCGCTTATAGTGCAGGACCGGGTATAATGCGGTTTTTTTAAACCACCGGTTCGCCTCCCATAGAACTCCATGTAATTACATACCGCTTAAAATGCAGGCGCACGAAGGGAAATACCGGTTATAGTGCGGTTTCTGGCACAGCCCGCCGACCACGCCGACGACCGGAGCAGCGAGCACGCTTCCCTGTGCGACATAACGGCGCTGACGGCGCGAGCCTCAATTTTGGCCGCAAGCGGCACTGGCGGGGCAAGGAGGTTGCTCGAAGAAGCGGGAAGAAGCGAAGAGAGAGGCTTCAGTTGCCATAGCGACGGAGGGACACACGCACGTGTCGTTCACGTGCGTGCGTCCCTCCGCTGCGTTGCAAACAAAGAAACAAACAGCAGCAACGACAGACCAATCGCAGGTCGAGGAGAAGTGTTTGCGCGCGTTGCATGTCGGTCACGGACCGGCTGCTTCTATCGGCAAACATGGCGTCGGTTGTGATCGTCGTCGTAGATGGCGTTCATCTCATCGTTCTGCGTAAAAGCTCTATCCTTGACTGTGAATTTTCGTTGTGTGTCGCTATGATAACCCAGCACGTACTAGAAGGGAAGATCCACCTACTCGTGCGGCGATGTCGTGGCGGCGCTCTCAAGACGGCAGAAACGCCCGTGTCGTCGTGTTTGTTTACTTCGACTACAGTGGTGATTTCTAATCATTTGTGTCCTCGAACATCGCCCGGATTTCTTATTCTTATTATTCTTATTCCTTCATGCGTGTGCTCAAGTTCAAGGTATTACTGGCGCGTACCGTATGAAGGATGCGAATTTTCACGCGTTTTCATATCCGGAGAAAAGTGATTAGGGTTAGCAATACTGAACGCTCGCACCGTCCGTCCGCAACCCGCGACGCCGTTAAAAGGCTGCGCCAGGCAAAAGCCGCTCATTTCTTTCAAAATGTGTGACACACTTGAGACAGAACTGTACTAGTCTGGTGAAATAAAGGCTTTCATCAAGCTAAGCTTTATTTTGCATCTAACATAAAATAAATTCTTTTACAAAGGTAAGTTGTCTTATGGCATGTATTTTGGCCTGAAAAATTGATGTTTTGGTTATAGCGCGGTACCGCTTATAGTGCGGATTTTCGCGACTCCCGCGACATACGTTATATGCGGTCTACACTGTATAGCCATATAGAAGGAGGGCATGCAAAGTTTCAGCCCTAAGACCAGAACAGAGTAAAGCATAGCTTGGCATGGAATCTGCTCAATGAATTCATCGTTGAGAAACGGTGTTGATAAAATGTTTTTCTAGTAAAATGCATACTGGCATAGCTGTTGCCTGTTACTTTATATTAAGTGAAATTTATTCCAAATAAAACAAAAGTTTGAGGACACCTAAACTCTTCTTAAGGGTTGTGAATGCGAAAGCATGAATGTCATTCTCCCGCTCCCTCAGTTTGTCTGTGGCATAGTGGCGTGGGCTGTTTTGTGTCGCTACTGCCGAATTAGCAGCCGACGGCCGAACGCGCGCTCTCGTGAAGTGGCTGCACTGCGCTGAGCTCAGCCGTACAGCTTCTCCGAAGTTTACCCAAGCGGGCTGTAGAGCCAGGCCGGCACAGTTGCACCTCTCAGCGGCATTTGGGCCGCTGCGTGCACTGCGCCGCCACGGAAAGAGCTTCTCTGGTGGCGTACATTGGAACTACGCTGTGCGAGAGTCAATAGGAGGAGTCTTTTCTTGATGACGCACGCCATTCAATGGGAGCCTATCCATTGGGACAGGGGAGTTTAGTTGCTGTTTGGCGTGGCCTCAAAGCTGATGACATCGGTTTGCTCCGTGGAGCAGTTAATGCTTCGGTATTAAAAATGGATCAGAGAGAAACTCGCTCAAAGTGCTTTAACTTCTACCTTATCTTTGGAGTCGTTAAACTGAAAATAATTTAATAAAAAATAACTATGCAGTGTAAACAAATGAAACCTTCTGAGAATACTCTCTAGGTTTGGGTGGTTGTTAATATGGCATTTTTCAAAACCGACTTTTTTTACAGAAAGCTTTTTTCCTGCATTGTGTCCCCCCTTAAAGTAAGAGCCTCCACCTTTGTGCACTCGGCTCACTGATCAAACTTCCTTATCTGCAACATTCTCCAAAATAATATAATTCTTCATTCCTCTTCAATCTTGCCTGAAAACGAATGTCGCTCACCATCAAACTTCTACGCTGCTAGAAGCTCCATCGAGCAGAGGCACTGTGAATTTGTACACTCAATTGTCTGGCTCTTTTTCGCTTGCAAAGACACCATTTTGTTTGAAAGGAAACAAAATAAGCTTATTTATTAGTTTTGCTATTAGATATCAATAAAGAATGTCCGGTGCTCGCGCACAGCGATTGATTACAGTCATAGAAAAATGTTGGTGTACAAGAAATTGTTTTTCGCAAAAACTACTCGTAATTGCGAATTTGGGGTAACTTGTCGAGGGCAAGTTAATCGATCACTGTGTGCGAGCTAGACAGCGGCCAGACGAAAATGCCCCCTCCGAGACAGTGGCACTCCCGGCAAGAGTTCTTGACCCCATACAAAACTTTGGCCGAAATTTCTTGACCAGTAGCGTATTGAAGGACCCTGACTACGCTTAGACTGAGTGTCGACTCTCCATTCCTTGACACTGTGGTGGACGCCGCCATTTTGTTGTTTATGTTAGCCGACACGACGAGAACAGCGAGGAGGAGTGTCGGTTGCCACACTTCCAGCATGTGCTTTCTAACTTCGACAGTACTTCGACCTCACGTGGGTTTGGAGCTGAAGCATGGTGGAAGGCAACGAGCGCATGCTGAAGGCCAAGCGTTTAAAAGAGACGCCCTGCCGTTCTCATTCCATCTGCGACTACAGGGCTACTAAATGGCTATGCTAAGAACAGGGCTTCTCGGGCCTTTAGATCACAAAGAACCCCTACTGCGGTGCCTTTAGGCTTGTCCTCGGAGACAAGCCTAAAGACACCAACTAGACAAGAAGTTGCAATTCATCCGACATAGGTAGCAGAGTATTGGCCGTGCCACATGGTCCACTGTAATGATCCGATCTTGGTGACTGCATGTACGTCAAACTTTTAATGCGAAAGCATTAACTGTTTCATGGAGCGAGCTGACGTCATCAGTCTGAAGCGCGAAAATGGCAGATAGTTCCCTTCGGTTCAATTGGGTGCCGCGCGTCGACGAGGCTCCCATTAGCCGCTGCGCTCGTCAGTTTCCACGATCGCTCACCCTATGGCACCGCGTGTCCATCAGCGCGGAGCATCCAAGGTCACCAGGGGAGCACACGCGCCGACTGGCGATGAAAAATATGCAGCAGACAAAAAAAGGGAGCGAACGAGCGGCTTGCAGGCTTTCGCATTCACAACTTATAAAGAATGCTTAAGTGTACCTCGATCTTTTTTGTTGACCAGTTTGCTAGACATTTAGCTGGATTAGACTCTTCAAGAAAAATATCAAGCAACACTGGCGGTTGCCACATCTTCGGTATCGCCCCGCCCTTTGAAGCTGGTAGTTGAACCCGAGCTCACGTTTAACGTCGGTGCAGCGCTCATTTTCAATACATGCCCAGGACACGTGCCCAAAGTGTGGTGGCCTTGGATGATCGGCAACGAAGCCATTTAGATAGCTCACACTTTTTGAAAAGGGTTTGTGACTTCATAACGTGTGAATCGTGGCCTTCCTAGAGGACACTAAAGCTAACTGCATTGTACTCTCGGCGAAAATTGGGCGGAGTTGCCCTTTGAAACGTCCTCGGCGGCCTTAGAGGAGACGTGACGAGGCGCACCAACGAGCATTCTAAGAACTTGCAACTTTCTTGCGCTTACCAGAGCCGCCGAGCAATCTACGTTTCAGATTCACGACACTCCGATGCTTGAATTCATGGTTGCCAGGTATTCGAAGTTCCTTCCAGGAAGGGAGGAAATGCTTTCTTCAAGAAACATTGAAACGTTCCGTGACAGAGAGAGAGAGACGATTCGCCCAAGCTTCTTGTAACGGCATCCAAGTCTCAGGAAATAGCATTTTCAAAGGGTAGCCATCGCCAGTTGCATCCGCTCCGCACCGAGCACCAAAACGGTGTCACCCACAAGATAATCGTGGAATGCAGGGTCTAAGCTTAGCTTATCGAGCAGCTTTGGCACTGACAATCAATTGCACACTTGTCGTCGGCCGCCCGCGTAACGCTTGACTCGTCGCTCGGAATGTAGGGCCTTGCCACCATGCTGCAGTGCCTAGAACGTGTATGCGGAGCGTAAGTTGGTCTACTTCTCACACAAGGGTTGCGATGATGTCAGAACGCCAAGCTCTTACTGGCTGATTGAAAAAAATAGTAATTAGACCTCAAGGCATCTAGCATTGAGGTCTACCCACTGACCTTTCAATCAAAGCCAATCGGAAGCAAATGACTTGCTCACCACATTCGACTGGTGTGTTTTCCGTCCCGTTCAATTCATTGTTTCTCGTTCGTTTACGTCGGCACGAAGGCAACCTGACCGGAGGCAGCAGCGGCGCCGGCGCAGCTTCCAAGACGAGCGCCGCGCCGAGTTTCCCGGCATGGTCGCAGAAGCAGCAGCAGCAACCCAGCGCCAACAGCCCGCAGCACACTGGAGGCGGGCCGCAGGCCGGCGGCAATGGGAAGTGGCGGCCGCCGGGTGCGAGTGCCGCCGTTCCCCCAAGCGCCGCCGCCGCCACTGCCGCGCCGACGCCCCCAAAGCCAAACTACAGCGCCGCGGCCGCCGCGTCTCAGGCGGCAACCAGCGTGTTTCCGGACAAGGCCGCCACCGCCTTTGGAAACGGTTTGTTTTTCCGTTTGTCGTTTCTGGGAAGTAAAGATTTGGGGCAAGGTTCTGACATAGGAACCGTTACATGCAGGGGTTCCCAAACTGGGTTCCGAAGAACACAAGGGTTTCACGCGTAGGTCTCGTGGGTTCTGTGAGCATCCAAATTGCAGTGCCCCCCCCCCTAGTTTAACCTTCCACGGACCGAGCTATGAATTGAGCTGGTGTTGCGGGCAAAGCGACCTCGCTTTTCGCACTAATATGTATATATATTTTACCTTGTGCCCCAGGTTAACCCCCCCCCTGCCTTCTTATTCTGTCTGTAGTCCTCCATTTTGTCTTATTTTGTCAGTGCAGTTAACTCTTATTCACTTTCTAAATGTCTTTATTGCCCACTATTATCGGTTGGCAACAGGGAGGAGGGAGGTGTTCTTTGGGACTCTTCGGGGCTTGCTGAGGTTTGCTGGGCCGAAAAAGTTTGAGAACGCCTGCGTTAAAACATGAAACAATCATGGGGCGGTGCGACCCGAGGAGGGAGGAAGGAGAGGTGGGGCAGGGTGGTGAAACTTTTTCGGGAAATGGACACTCAATATCTGGATTGCAAGGCATGGAATATACAATACCCAGAAAACCTGCAGGCACAACCGGTAGCTACAGATGGGTACCTTCAGATGCACTTTGCTTAGGGTGATAACATCCAACTATTTAACTTGCGATGCATATTCTTTTTTACAGCGGAACTGTTAAGGGCTAATTTCCCCAGTATCATGTCTGTCAGCAAACAAATGTCGGCACAAAACTCTGGACAGCTATTGCCATCTATGAACGATGGTGGCAACCAGACAACCAACCGCCATCGCTCATAGATGGCGGCAACCTTTCCAGCCTTTCCACTCTGGTTTTCACCAGAGTGGAAAGGCTGAATTTCTGTAGGCGTCGTCTTAGAAGTCATTCTAGAAGTCGTCCTTGAGGTCGTCCTAGACATTGTTTTTGAGGTCGTCCCTGAGGTCGTCCTAGGCGTCGTCCTAGACATCGTCCCTGAGGTCGTCTTAGGCGGCGTCCTAGACGTTGTCTCTGAGGTCGTCCTAAAGTCATCCTGGAGGTCGTCCTAGAAGTTGTCTTTGAGGTAGTCTTAGATGTCGTCTTTGAGGTCTCCCTAGACGTCGTCCTCTAGGCGTCGTCCTTGAAGTCGTCCAAGAGGTCGCTCTCTAGGTCGTCCCACCATAGTGCAGCTTCGCTGGTCTTCCTTCTTCACCAGAGTGGGAAGGCTTAAATTTTTGTTCCGGAGCGCGCAAAAAAACATTTCCTGTATGAGCAGTTGGCATTGACAGTGTTATAACTATATCTCACAGCTGTATCGTAGAGCTCTTACAGCTATATCTTTGTGTTGCCCTGTGAGCAAATGTGCCATCGGCATTGGGTATCACGTACAAAGACTAAAGAGCCTAAACAGAAGGACATTGAGGCACCCTATAGTTGGATGCAACCTAAGAACAATCTTTTAGCTCCAACCACAAGCGCATTGCACCCATCTGAAGTGCCTCCGCCGTCGAGAAAGAAGTTCGCTAGCAACGTTGCTTTTTCTTCCTTCAGGAAACGTGTCTTAAACTACTACAATATTTATTTAATTCATTCAGGACATTTAAATAAATTAGAATACGTTTTTGTCAACGAAATAGCTGTTTAGTAAAGAAAGAAAGTCATATGTCCAATGTACCGTCTTCCCAATTCATTTTCTGTCCAAGATACTGTCTAACATACCGTCTAACATACCTCTCAGCAGTGCTAAGCCTCGCGCCCGCTTCGAAATTTTCGTTGGCGATAGCGTCGCTGGATTCTCACGTTGTCGCGCAAAAACTGCTGCAAACGCAAGGCGATACCATTAAGATTTCGAGGCGTAACCTCGGGCACTTAAAACACGGTGCAAAAAAGTAGAATAATTGTCACGAGAAACTAGCGTCGCGTTGGTAAGGCCAGCAGCCATGTTGAGCATTTTTTTTTCAAAAGGATTGCGATTGGTCCACGGAATCGTGACATCATGAAAACGATTGGCTGGCGTTTCTCGGCGTAGGATTGCATTTTCCTCTGAGAGGCATTTCCGGTTTTTTCTTAGCTTGCAACCGACTATAGCTACGGCAAGTTACGAGACACATAACAGAAGAGCATGTCACCCAGGTATCCTGGGTGACATGTTTGTGCTGGAGTGTGGTGTGAACGGGTGGAGAGGAGCAACCGCACCAACAATGGCTTGCAGAGAGCTTTGTGTTGGGGGAAAGGGGGGTCTTTCCATTCTAAAACTGCAACAGACTACAGTTGCCAACTGATTTTTCGGACGCTGATAATTCGGACTTGTTCTATATTTTGCACCCAAAAAGGAGGAACCGTGACCTACCCGATAGAAATAGTGCATATTCACGGCCAATGTTTCGGATAGCTTGAAGTCCGAAAGTTCAATTTTTTGGACAAAATCGTCGTGAGCGATCAGCGGGAAACACCACTGAGAAGCGGCCATATTGGAATTTTATGTTGGCTGCACATGGATTGGCTTGGTTTGGCAGCGCTAGTTAAATGCAGCTAAGTCCTACTCCTAGATGGCGCTGTACGGCTTTTTTTTTTCTCTAGCTGCACGTCATTATTATCATCATTGTTGTTTCCATTCTGCTTTGTTCATTTGCCATTGCAGTCATGGACTTGCACCTCTCATCTCGATCTCGTCTCGGTGAATCGTGATTTCCGCTGCCGCGATCTTCTGCTAAGAAGTGCAGAAACTACTCAACCATAACGCTAGAAAAGAAGGCAGCAATTCTCAAGCTAACAGAAAGTTGCCGAACACAAACGGAGGGGTAACCTAAAACGGCGCGCGGGCGTAATTTGAAGCAAGGCACTATTAACAGTTTTTTAAAGCCCGCTTAGAAGTAATAAAGGGAATTTTTTTTAATCTTCTGATTTTTCAGACTGATCTAATATTCTGACATTTTTTTCGGTCCCTGCAAAGTCCGAAAAATCGGTCGGCGACTTCATGGACTGTCGGAATGTTCGAAAGACGGCTGAATTTTCCCAATAAAAATGGCTTGGACTCGGTCGTGCCACGGCGAAACTATTTCTATGTGCCCTTCTCCCTGCAGGAGCGGGGCCCCAGAAGGCAAAGCTGACGGAGGACACCTTTGAGGACTTGCTGGGCACGCAGGGCTTCTCAGGCTTTGGGAAGAGGGACACCGGTCCCAAGACCATGGCTGAATTGCGCCGGGAAGAGCTCGCCAGAGAGATGGACCCGGTCAAACTCATGGTGCGCCGCCCGTTCTCGTTTGTTTGAAGAGTCTTAATAGCAGGTTGCAAGCCACACCTTTTTGCCTTCCACTAGGTTGCAAGGAAGAAAACTGACGTGCTGTTACTGTTGCCGTCTGAACCACCTTTTTCTTTCGCCGTTTTTGCTTTGCCCGTTTTTTTTCTTGTTTTGCCTTTCTTTTTTTGCTGCCTGAATTTAGAGAGGTTTCTTTTTTGTTGCTTATTTAACTTTATTCTATGGATCAAGAATGTTTTTTATGTAACTCGCTTTTTCCGTTCTTTCATTTTTTTAAATTATTTTTGTGTTTTGTTGCTGGCGCTGTCTGGAGGTCGTGGCCAGGCATAAACGATCGCAAACACTATCGCGTTTAAAAGGTGGCGGTGTTTGTGATCGTCACCAACTGAGCTCTACTGTGTTTAATGGCTCTCAGAGGCTGTATTTGGTAAGGTCCCGTTTGTCGTGGCCCTCAGTATTATCAGAGACGTCCGGAAATTTCAACTGCAGCTTAAGTTAACATATTTTTGTATATCAAATTATCGATATATCACACAATTTTACGATCTCCTTTGAATTCAATATATCTGGGTTCGACTGTACAGCTCGTGCGCCGAAAGCGATCCCGAAGTGGCAACAAGCGACGTGGCGGGAGCGGGTGTGCCATACTTTTGAGGGTCGTCATTCACATAGTGGATCGTAGAAGTTCCAGCAAAAAGGGAGCCGACTCGAGCATTGCTGTTGTTGTGGCGTCCCAACTGCTGGCCACTGCAGCTTCCGTGGATTGTTGAGTTGGAAAGTGACCCACAGCAGATCAGGCCTTTGCCGCACCCACTTCCATTGCCGCGAATCGCCAGGATTGCGGCGGGCAACTGCACGATGCAAATGGAACGTCGTAGGGCAGAAATGCGGGACCAGAATTAAGACGCTGTAAATGCACCAGTAAGAGACACGTTCCAGGCACTGTGCCCTTGCTGAGGTCAAATCAACCCTTGTGGTCGTCGGAAGCAGCGGGGAAAAGTACAAAGTGCGGGGAGACCGTCCCTTTTTTCGCTGAGCGTTGAGTGCCAACGTTCACATTTCCAGATCCTGGACTGGACGACCAAGAAGGAGCGCAACATCCGGGCCCTGCTGTGCTCCCTGCACACGGTGCTGTGGGAGGGCACCCGCTGGAGTGAGGTGGGCATGCACCAGCTCGTTTCGGCCGCAGACGTCAAGAAGATGTACCGCAAGGCCTGCCTTGCCGTCCACCCCGACAAAGTGAGTGCACCGGGGCTCCGTCTTTCTGTCAATCCCATCGCAACCATTTCCAAATGCATTTCCAAAGGCATTTGTAGGGACGGCTTTTAGTGCTTTCGTGTCCGTGGCACATGGAATCAGTAGTTCAATGGATCAATGTTCACGTGACGGCATTGGCGTTTTATAAGGTTCGTCGAGACGTCATCGCACAAACTCTGCGATGGCGTAGTAGTGTCAGCGTGACATTGGACATCACATGACGTCATCAGCGTGACTTTAGACAACAGATGACACTGACACTAAAAGGCACCATGATGTCATGTGAGACTTTTACCATGTTGTTAAGTGACCTCATGACGTTGCAAGAACACCGATGGCATCATGGCGTCATCAGCGTGACATTGGACATCACACAACGTTATTGGCGTGACAATGGACATCACGATACATCATCAGGGTGACATTGGACGTCACATAACGTATTGGCGTGACATTGGACGTCACATAACGTATTGGCGTGACATTGAACATCACGTAATGTCATCAGGGTGACATTGGACATCACATGACGTCATCGGTGTGACATTGGACATCACGTGTCCTCATCAAGGTGATATTGGACATCGCATGACACCATGGCGTCTGATGACACTGACACCACATGCCACCAAGATGTCATGTGACACTGACACCATGGTGTTACATGGTCCCATGACATCACATGCGACACTAACATCACATTACCTTATATCATGTCGCAAGACGTAAGGTCGCGTACAGTACCACATGATTTCCTGGTGGTCGTGCGATGGCAGGTGATATGACCCGACAAAATGTCACAGGACGCCATGATGCCAGGTGACGCCATGATATTTCAAGGACCCTTGCAATAAACCGAAGGGAGGGGCAGCGTTTTTGCTTTTTGTTTATGCATCACCGAGTGGATTGTGTGCTTTCGTTGCAGCTGGTCGGGACCGAGCATGAAGAACTCGCCAAGCTCATTTTCATGGAGCTCAACGACGCTTGGAGCGAGTTCGAGAAGCAACAGGGGCTCACCTAGTCGCACCGTCTTTGTGAACGGACACGCTTGAATGCGCAAACGAGAAGTGACATTGGACGGCAGCATTCTTGGAAACCAAAAAGCACCTGGCCCGACTTCGCCGCTTCGCCCCCAACCCTTGCCCGAGTTTTCCCGACCTAGTGCCGACCTTCTCCCAGCCTTATCTATTTTATCCCCAACCACGTCCCGGTTCTTTCTTTCTAGTCTGGGTAGCACGCAAGATGGGACTGTTCGTTTCGTGCTGCCTGGAAATGTTTACAGCTTCACTCAATTCCTAATAGAGTTTGCCATCCTAGCGCCAACATCCCCCAACTTTTTTCATTCTAGCCCCGACCTATTCCCAGTTTCTTTCCTTTGAGCCAGGCAGCACACGAGATGGGACTGCTAAATCCTTGCTCTATGGAAACACTTGCAACTTCGCTCGACCCTACCAGGTTTTGCCGGCCTAGCGCCAACATCCCCCCGACTTACTTTGTTCCAACCCCGGCGTATCCCCAGTTTCTTTCTTCTGAGCCAGGTGGTACATGAGATGGGACTGTTCATTTTGGGCCGCTTGGGAAGACTTTGTTCTTTCCGCCATTTTGTTTTGACATGTTGGTTTCTCGCATGTACATAAGCTTGTTTGTTGTCTGCTTTTCTGGGATTGTATGGGTAGGAGTGCAACCTAACGCAAGTCTTTCTGTTGCATATGAAATCTTGGGAGATGTAAAAAAAGTGTAGCGTTTCCGCGTCGAGTTAATTTTAGGCGCTGCCTAGCTTTGGCAAATGTTTCCAGACCTGGCAGCAAAAAAGGGAGGAATCACCTTTTCTTATCTGTTTGATGGATGAGTTGGCAGCATGGCTGATGTTCTTTTGTTAATGATTCACCTTTTCATGCAGTATTGGGTTATTTAATTGCCCTTTGCACGCAGTATTAGGGGAACCTGTTTGAAGGATCGTACCATCAGGTGGGAGCAGCATGTGTTATTGTGTACGGCACGGTTACTAGTAGTTCACAAATTACCGAGCGTTATGTGGCAGTTTCATTTTGTCGTTTCACAAATTGTCAACAAAAAATAATACTTGGCCCACTGTTTTTTTTGTTTGTTTTTCTGGTGGTCAAAAGATGTTTTTTGTTTGTCGGGGTGTGCCTAACATTCCTGGAGACGCTTGAGAATGCGGCGAGCCCAACACACGCCTTAATGTTTGTTTAGTTTTAGGCATTTCTGTTTGTTGTTACTTCGTTTCAACGTGCCTCGCTGTGCGTCGTCGGAATTTCGTCATAAGCTGCCAGCATAGAAAATGCGTTGTTGAGAAGGCGTAACAGGCATATCTTGTCGCTTCAAGACCTTACGACACTACGGTTCACAGTCGCTTTGTTTCTGTACAGGCCGCGGTAGTAGTCGTAGTTTGCTGCTTGTAGACAGTGAGAAGCACGAAAAGCTCTCTACATCGGTTCAGCAGAAGTATCTCACGAAATGAAGATACGCTCCTCTAATGCCCTATGCCATCAATCTTTACTGTACCGTCTGTCACGTTGTCTTCTTTTTTTCACTTCTCCTCGCAGACGATAATAGACTTAAGGAAAAGGAATGAGGCAATGTTTTGTCTGTGATAGAGTTTGTGCGGTTCTTTTCTTGTCTTCATTTTCTTTAGCGGGTCGGTTTCACAAACGTGTCTGTGTCTTGTGCAGAAACACATGTATATAATATATATATATATATAAATATATAAATGAGCGATATACATACGAGTGCTGAAACAAGTTTGGAGTAATGACGACTAATTACGCAGTGCAACCTTTCATTTCTATTTTTTTTGCGCGTTCTTACGTTGCAAGAGTTGTTTTTTTTTAGGTGTCTTTCTTTCGTAATTTTTGCATTGCTCAAATATTGGCCCCAGGTTTGCGACTAGCTTTGAAAGCGAGATTTAGACATAAACTAAACTGCGCTCGGTTTGTTTTGAGCATCGAGGCACCCATACTATGTAATACTCAGTCGCTAAGCTTGCCCCTGTGGTTTCAAAGTGCAAGGGCCGGTTGGAAGTTATTCCAAGCTTTCTACGTTCCTTAATTTAGATAATTTTGCTCCTTTTTTTTAGTGTGCTGCTTTGCAATGTACATACGAGCTGTTTTTTTTTGAAGTGTGCATTTTATATGCTTTCCTCCAGGTTTGACCCGGAAGGCTGAACGAATGCAAAAATAATCCTAAACGGTCTAATCCAGTTATCTTTCAAACCCAGCGCATCGTTTGAAAAAAATAAAAAAATACTAGTCGACGCGAACACGGGCCGAAACAAACGTTGTTGCCATCTTTTCAGACATTCCATTTCATGGAAAACACCGGTTGTCATTTTTTTGCAAGGTTTGACTTTTTATTGATTTGCATGGTCGTCCAGTGTCTAGTGAATGGTTGGAGGAAGTTGCGAAGGAACGTCGTTGTCGAATCCAGTGTTGTTTTTTTTTCTTTTCGTTCTTGTGCACGCGTTCACCCCGTATTTATCGCCAAGCCGCAGCCGCAGCCGGTGTCTTGGCTTGGCTTGAGCTGTGACGAACGAATTAGCCTCGATGGAGAAATAAAGCTCTGTGGGATTGAGATGGGGTCACGACTTGTGCCGCCTTCATCCTTCTCGGGAAACTTTGACTTACCTTTGCGCCGAACCGTGGTGGCTCCGGATTTTTTCAGCCCTCAATCGCTGCCAGGTACCACATTGCGGTGGAACCGACACCATTTTGTGTGATGTAATTGGTTCAGGAGTAGCTATTACCTATCCTATAGCAATATTACTGTTTTTTTATTTGCTGCTGGTCAGTGTTGTGGTTTTGTCGTCATTTTATCAGATTATCATTTTTCTTTTGTGCCTGTGTTGTGATAAGGGTCTTGACCTTCTATTCAGGGGAGGATTATTGGTTGTAGAGGCAGGGATACGGTCCATTCGTCACATGCACACTCGTCACAGGACGATTCGTCGCACAGGAACATTCGTCATAGGATGACTCGTCACGCGGCCAACCGGTCCCACAATGGTTCGTCCCCCAAAAAATGTATTGCTCAATTTGATTCGGGCGGACAAAGTGGCTGACCTCATATCTTAGTATGTCTTTGGCTTCTGAAAGGCGAAGAAATTGTAACAAACGTTTCAGCTTCTGGTTCGGTCGCGAACATTGAATGTTGGTTCGGCCTCACAAAGTTGGTCACCTCTTATCTTAGCATTTCTTTCGCTTCTCAAGGTCAAAGAATTTGTAACAGACGTTTTAGCTTCTGGGTCCGCCCCGAACGGTAAATGCGGAGGCCATGTAAGAGCGACTATTTTTGAACTCTGACTACATTCCAAAGGATAGAGGGGATCGCAACAGAGAGAGGTGGAGCCATGATGCTGCACGAGGGGTACTCGTACACATTCAGCAGAAAGAATTCCAATACTTATTGGTTTTCTCGAAGAGGGGTATGTAAGGCGAAAGTAAAAAGTGATTTGGCTGCCAGTGGGATTATTGCTCGTTCAAGCCAGCAACTGAGATCAACCTGCTGAAGACTCGTAATATAATGAAAATAAAAGCGGAGGAGTATTGTAAAATTAGTTTTTCTAGCCATTGGTTTATGTGACAGTGGGAAGTCGTGAAACTCCTCATCAGCGAATGTGGGCAGTTGTTGAAATTTACAATTTACTATCGTCCCCTGCCCGATCGATGTGACCAGTTGCCCGCATGACTAGTCATCCTGTGACGAATGTTCCTATGTGACGAATCGTCCTGTGACCAATCGTCCTGTGATGAGTGCGCATGTGACGAATCGTCCTGATCCCGTAGAGGCAAACAGCTGTGGACCTTATGAATGCTCTTTTTTCTTGCAAACAGCAATGCATGTAAACAAAAACATATTTTTGATACTCTACGAACGTGGTGTTTATTCCGAGTACTGATTAGCCAAAGGGAAAAGAGGATATAGTTTTAGGATACCTTTAAAGGTTGAAAATGTTGCATGTTCGTTTGCGCTGAGTTTAGGCGTTTGTATCGGGTTGTACTTGGTTAACAAACAACCCTATGGACAAGGAGTCAATGTCATTTTTTTTTAAGTATGGGATGCTCATTTTATTTGTACTAACAAACGAGCAAAAACACAACACAAAGTCGCTTCTAGTAATGTGTGTGTGCTCCAGCTCCACATAAAGCGGTCAGTACGGTAAAACTGTGGTCAGTACTCTTCTGAGGCAATGCTTTGTTGCGTCGACGCTTTCAAAAATATTTCGCTTGGACATCCATTTGGCACGACTGCTCCAGGCCAGGCTTGAGAAGGGCTGCGCATAGCTGCGATGAACCCATCCAGTCTCTAAACATTTGCTGGGTTGAGGGAATGAAATTGCGAGGTCAGAGTTGATGTCTGCAAATTGTTTTGCGTCACGTTGGTTGTGCGTTGTCCAACATGGGGTCTGGTCGTCCAAACAGCAGCGACGGTGAGGCATGGTCCTCGGTTCCCATCGATTTAAAATGCAAAAAGGATTCGCATACTATGTCCAATTCGGCAATTTAAGTGGTTGGTTTGTAGGAGGCTTTTCAGGGTTGATAAGATGAGTTTTGCCTTGTGTAAACTTTAGGTTCCGTAGAACTGGGTTTGAGAGTACCGTTACAAAATTGTATCGGTAAAGAGCATAAAAAATAAGACAGAAAATAGACTGAAAAATAAAAAAAGCAGTGTGCACACTACCTTTAAGAAATTCCAGGTAATTTGTGCCATCCTTCAGCTCTTTACATACCATTGTGCAAATGCTTATAAAGGTAGTGCAACGCTAAGATAGGTTTGTACAGGTATAGCTTTTGCGAAAATATTATAGTATAACATCAAACACCTTTCTCTGGGGTAGCAAAAGTTTAAACTTTTTCAGTATCAACAGGATTATAAAAAGACAGGCTTGTATCAAAAGCCTAGCTTCTGTTCAATCTTTGTGTGGCCTGTCGCGTGTGTCTTTGTTCTACTGATCGTCTTCGCTCGCGTGCCAACATATCGTAGTAGCTGAGAAAACGGCGCCATGTTGAAGAAAATAGGCCTAAACGAGCATTAGGCCTAACAACACTAAAGTTGGGCTGTCTCGTTTTTGGCCTGTTCGCCTCGGTCGATGAGTCCTGCAAGGTGTGTCCTTTGGGATCAGTCTGGGAGGCCTTCGCAGGGCTCCTGGACTGCTCCCAAAGATGGTGGACTTAATTCGCTGCGAAACGTCCGCGATTGATTATGTCCGACAGATGACAGTGGGCGGTTGTCATACGAAGGTGACCTTAGAGCCAACGTGCGTCGTCTGTGGGATGGCGTTCACAGTGTTGAGAGCTTGGAGCGCAAGCCTGTTGGCCAGCCTGGCTCTGTTGGTTGCGTTGAGGTACTGCTCGTGGGCAGCATTAATGTACCTGAAAAATAAAAGCAAACATACGCTTTGGCATATGTGCTGCATTCCAGGAAGAAAAAAATTTGGTCTCGTCCAGTTGTCAAGCTGCCGTTGGTGTATCATGATATAAAAATGGCAACGTAACAGTGGTGTAAGGAAGACAAGATTCAAAAGCTGAAGGTATTTTTCAAAGAGGTACATCTTACCAGTCTGTTTTTTTTTTTTTTTGTTGTTTTTTTTTTTAATTGTCAGATCGAAAAAAAATATAACTTCGAATACGGCACTTCACTATTTCTTTAATAAGTGCTGCAAGGTAATAACTGCCTGAGAGAATATATGCTCCGGAATTCGTAGAGACCGTACGGACAGAAAGGTTTTCTGACATCAAGAAATGGAAGGACCATCATTCAGCTCAGTGGCGTTAGACAGAAAAGTCCCTCCCCCCCCCCCCCCTTTTTTTTTTTTTTTTTTGGGGGGGGGGGGGGGGGGTAGATATTTTAGAAACGTCATGTAAACAATTGATTCAGAGCTTTTTCTTTTTTCATAAGGAAGAAAAGCGGGGCTTTCCTTGTGGGCTGAGCCTTTTTTGTGGTTCTCAGGGTGCATACGGTGGGGGAACTGGCGATGCCACTGAAAATTAAGTACAGTTGTTTTTTTGGATACCTAAATACTATGTGCGAAGAGCAGGGCTGCGCGAATATTCGAATGATCAAATACTTGTTTCAAATTATATGCTACTTGTTATTCAATTCAAAATTAACTGCAAAATGCATACTTTTCGAAGTGTTGATCGCGGCGGCTTAGCCCCCCTTGAGTGCGCTTCTCCTCAAGCACAAACGCACTACGGAGAAGCAATACCCGCGGAGCTGATATCGCGACTCGCTTCGCCGCAATGCAGCCGCGCACTTAGGCGAAAAAAACACCCTCCAAGTGTTGTAACGCACGCGCGTGCCTAGTGTCAAAAAAGAAAACGGTGTGATTGTTGATATTTCTATTGCAGTAAAATCTTCGGAATCTACTGTGGCTTTTATGCAAGGTTGTAAGTTAGGCAGCGATGTTTTAACAACCTGTGTTCATTACTTGTGCTTGTTTCGTTTTAATTCAGAATTGAATAAAATATATCCATATGGGAAGAAGATTCATAAACCCCCTCAATTAGGTATGGTGGGGCTCCCTTATAGGTTTAATTTTATGTCAAATCTGTCATTAACTAGCCATCCTAATGTTCACCTTGGTTTGTCTGAGGCCGCAGTCTATAAATATAGCTGGATTAAATTTAACAGAGCTCATAAATGGACAATTAGAAGCTTGGGAACAACCTTTGCGAGTTCAGCTGAATTTTTGTTTAAGCATGGTGTAACAGCAGTGAAATGAACGGAGAAAAGCGCAGAAACTATTTAATATTTGGTTCAAAAATATTCGGCCGAAACCTCTATTTACTTTGAATTTGCTTCGAACCCAAAGTCCATTATTTGCACATGACTAACGAAGAGTTATCGGTTTTTCTGTGAAGAGTGCACACATCGATTTCATGAATAGGTATCGCTACTTGTTGTGATGAGTTCGAGCAGCTAAGCAGAGCGCATAGCTACTCTAAGAGAAGTAGCAGGTTGAATACGATCGAGGGCAGCGCGAGGCACATTCAACACAAAAGTATCCGTTTGATGTAGAACTCGCGACATTCACCTCACCGTGATACAAACCCTACGAAACAGCCAAAAATAACTTTTTTTTACGTCAAACACAAACCGAAGACGCCATCGCTACTACTAATAGGTTAACTGAGACATCAGGAAAATTACTGGCGTATGATTGTTCAATAAATAAATAAACATCTGTAGAGCCCATATCCCCTGTAGGTATAATGCCTTAAATAGTCTCCAAACACTCCTACAACTGAAGTTTTCTTCGACAGGCTCCCTTAAAGGAGATTGTATAAAGTGTTTTGATATGAAAGCTAAAAATTGTCTGCTACAAAAATGGGAATCTCTGCTCCAAAACCCGCTGTTCCCTGCTACAAGAGCTGCTCCAAATCACCAATTGTCGGTTCCACCACTGTGTATACGCTAACCGTCCAAGAAGCCTAAAGATATACTTTGTACTAGCACTGCCATTCTTTGAAGTACCGGCTGCATGACGGTGCAGATTAGGAAGTGAATGGCGACGCACAGCAGCAGAATAAACTGGAAGACTCCATTTTGTGCCCTCGAAACCAAAGAACTTTGGCAAAGCCTACCTCCTGTACATCTTGCACTCTTCCTGTTCCTTGGCCTCCTGCCGCATGTAGCGGATCATCATGAAGCCGATGCCAAACGAGTAGAAGAACAGCACCACCACGATGTACATGAGAGCCTGTCGTTGGCTGGCTTCTGCCTCCTTGTCGTCCCCGCCGGGCCCGCCCGTGGCTCCCACAGTCGACGAGGGCCAAAGGTCGACCTCGGAGCCCCTGGACGTCGCCGACGACGACGACGAGGAAGATGACAAGTTCGCCGTGAGAGAGAGCAGCAGTCTCGTCATGTTGTGGCAGTGGACGTCCATCGAAGCAGACGGCCCGCGCTGCTGGGCCTGGCGCGTCGCCGGCGCCATCTTTGCTCTCGATTAGGCCTAGTTGATACGTCGTCTGTTACGGCGAGACGTCTTCAAGGCGAAGCCGTTCGGCGTGGTTCCGGGTGGCTTGTCGCAATTGGTCGTTTTGGGCGGTTGGGACCGGCGTTAGTACCGGTTCGGGTGGTGTTCTTGTCCCCTTTTGGTCGGCGCAGAAAGAACCGCCGTTTGTTTGAGGGCAGGGCGTCGCCGAATCTTGTTCTGGATGCTTGGACGGATGGCGGGCAGATCTTGTTCCTGGAAGTGAATGCAATTCATTTCTTATTTAACTTATTTATTATATTTTGTGTTTTGTTCTTCTTAAATTTATGGTGAGATGCACCACGAAAAATCATATAGTTTCGGAACATTATTCGGTTAAGGGGACAGCCAACTGGAAGCGTAATTTTGAGATGCTATGTAATGCGTGCGTCCTTTTATCTTGAAGTGAAAGTATATAAAAGCAAAGTACATTTCTTTAGCTTTACATGAAATATTCGAAACGTCACGATTACAACGTTTGAACTCTTCACTCTTTGCGTCTCTTGCAAGCTGGCTTTACCCCAAAGGTTTCACGGAAGGGGAAAAGCCAACTTTCAAAGGTGTTTTCTAGCACTTGTCGCGGCCTTTACTGTTTTTTTTTTTTAACGTTAGCACATTTTGTTTAAGTTACAACAAAACAAACTTTTTTTTTTTTTTTCATCACGAACACTATAGCAACGCAGAGACCCGGAAGTACTCTGCGGGGGGGTTAGAACTGCGACAAAATAGAGGAAAACAAAGGCCCTCTGCATACTTCCATTTTTTGAAGCACAGAAGAAAAAAAAAGAAGAAATATCTGTACCTGTTTATTTGTTTTGTTCTATCTTCGTCTTGTTTTTATACACACTTCTATATACTAGATGCACTCGTCTTAAATTACACCCTAAATTGATTTTTTATATTTATGCTGAAAAATATTTTGTAAAATAATTGACCTCATGTGCCTTCCCAAATACAAAAAAATAATAGCAATAAAATAGTCTTAGTGTTAAGAGGATACCAACTAAAAGCATTGCCGTGTCTCCAAAACTGAGTGCTCGCAACAAAAATATAAAAATCATGCGCTTAACAAAACAAAACAAAAAAAAAATCTACAGGTTCTCTTGATACGTATCGATCTGTCGATCGACGTAACGACGACTCGTCTGAAGTCCGCTGGAATGCTCGAAGCTCGGGTTTGAAAATAGCCTTCCTCTTTCTTTCTCGTCATGGACTTCGCCGCGCACTGTGACTGAATAGAATGTCAATTCCATAATTCGTATTGATGATTTTGTCCTTTAAATTAACGCTCGAATAAGAGCGGAAACGCACGGGTTCATGGTCTGGAAAGGTAAACCAGATTTATCGCGTTCTTGTCGTATTACACGGACACTTTACATGGTGTTCAACCGCGCGGTCGCAATGCGAATACAACGTACGAAATGCGGTTTGCAGCTACTGTCTTTAAAGGGACGCTGACAAGGTATTTACTGTTGCCAAGGTTCTTATTTGTGCATGACACATGAGAGCCCAACGACCCAGAACACAATTTGCGGCTCCAAATTCGCTTTCTTTCTGCCCAAAAACCGCCGATCGAGAACTGGCCAGTTTGAGTCGCCCTCACTCTCTTCTCCGTGGTCACGTGTCGTTTTCTATGGTTTAGAGACAACCACGAAAGATGATCAAAGTCGTGGGTCATCGAATGTACACATGCAATACTAAAAATAGACAAAAGATATGATACCCGATTTTTATGGCTTGTAAAAAAACTGCAAATACGTTGACTGAAAAAAAAAAAAAAAAGTTGCACAGCCACGTGATTTTTGCCACTTCTCTCCTCCTCTATATTTCTTTTTTCTCCCGAGTCACATTTCGGTTTCGAGCAGTTGCGTTCGTTTTACTTTATTAAAAATGTACGTGACGCTGTAGCAAAATGTTAATTGGGTAGTCTAATGACACCATAATGGATCGCCTGGTAAAAAAAAAAAAACAAATAAACATTGGGGGGGGGGGGGGGGGCAGGTGTCAGTGTGCCTTTAAGCCACGGTCACACTGCGAATACACCACACACGACACAATCTGCACACACTAAAGAGTTTTAGCGAACCGTTTCACATCCGATATGGTACAACTGCGCATGCGCTGCCACAGAATACCCGAATATGTGCAGTTCGTACCGGAGGGCCCATCGTACCATATCGGACGTGCAAAAACGGTTCCCTAAACACTCTCTACTGTCTGAGGTGTGTTTCTCTGTGCGACGCTCCTGTCGCACATTAGTCGTATACACACGTTCGAAGTGTGCAAATGCACACCGCAGACGTGCCCCGAGCCTGGATACCCGAGCCTTGTGCGCACATAATTCTGTCGTCCTGCCAGCAGCTGACAGCGTGTCTCTCGTGAGATGCGCCAGTGGTGCGGCTTTAGACCGACACGTGCAAATACGTTCTAGATACGGAGTATTTACCTCAAACAAGACGCACCGTAGAACTATGGTGCAAGGCACTGCAGTAGGGTGCCTACATGTTTCCGCCGCTCCGCTTAAACATGTAGCCACCCTACGTCGTATAGTAGCACTATACGCTCCTTCTGCAACGCAGGGTTGCCAGGTAGGTCTCTCGCTCAAACCGCCAAATTCCAGACGGTGTTGTCCAAAACTAGCCAAATGCGAGAGATTTATATCGCCAAAAAAGTTATCCTAACTAATGTATCTCCAGAGCCAAAACAATCGCGCGCTCGAATGTACGAGCTCAAGGCGAAGGCACTGCGTCTTCATATTTATGGTTTAGAGCATCTTGCAAGGTATACGACATCTTGAAATGTATCGAAAACGTTTTTATTTCATACACAAAAAAAAAAAAAGTACCAAGACTTTTCACACGCGTTTTTACAGTCACATAGTTATGAAGCACTCGCTCGTGCTCGGCTGACTCACCTCATACCTGATTTCCGTGTTAAAACGGGCAAAAAATTCTTCAGTAGTGTTGATGTCCTTACAGGACTCGTTCTTCCCAAAGAAATCAAACTTTACGTAGAGGATGTTTTGAAGGGTTGGAAGGGGCATCCTCTTCCTTAGGTCTGACTTTGTGAGGGACACGTGACTGAATACTCTCTCCACGGCGGCATTCGACGGAGGCGTGTTGCATACATATCAGGAGCGCGATGGCAAGCTCGGAAAGCAACAGAAACATGACTGCTCTTGCGCTGTGAACTTGGCCTTGTTCGGATTATTCATTGCTTTAAATCTGTTTTCTTTTGTTATGGCTCATTTTGCTTTAAGAAACTTCTATGTTTCGCGGAAAAGCCTCCTTGGTCATATCCCGTACAGCACGCGTTATCGGACGACATAGCCAACCGCTAAGTTTCGATGCCAAATCCATTACAGAGTAGCCCGATTTGGCTATTAATACCCCAACCTGATAACCCTGATGCAACGTTCTTGAATTATTTTAGGACCAGTTCTCCAGGTAATTAGCTAAAGGACAGGTTAGCGAGATATTTGTTGCAGATTTTTTTTAATAGTCTCGTAAAAGGACTGATTCTCTAGTATATATTTTATATGATATCACATTACTTGAACCTCGCTAGACACCCAAATTCGGTATTTCTGTGAAAATTTTATCGTCCCCGAAATTTTAACACCAACGGACTCGCGGAAAGTCTGCCAAAACGGAGTGACCGGAAGTCTCTTTGGGAGGGGGGGGGGGGGGGGGGGGGGGGGGGGGGGGGGGGGAGGAGGTTCTCTTGCAATGTTGCCAGAGCCATTCGTTCCACTAGAGCTCAACTCCGTAAGTGACAACGTCTCAACGTGGCGTTGTGCTCCAAACAAACAGAGGTCCGTTGTTATGGGCAAATCCGCGAAGACTCGATGAAAAATAAAAATTTGTCGGAAAAAAGAAAAGTCAATGTTTTTAGTGTGTAAGTATTGCGTCCTCTCAATATCTAATTATCAAGACTTTTTTTTTTTTTTATCGTCTCAGTGTCATAAGGCGATGCCAAAAGCACGTAATGAAGCTTCGCAGCCGGTTTTTTGCCTTGCTAGCAGACGACACGATGACTTCGCGGGTTTATAATGGCCCTTATCGAGGGAGTATGCGACTAGGTGAAATTAAAGTTGGTGACGAGCGACAAAACTTGTATTCTCGGGGTGAACTTTGGGAATCACGTACGACGATGACGTCGAGCGTGATACAAGGTGTACCCCCCTTCCCCCTCACACACAAAAAAAAAAAATATTCTAGGAATTCGTTTTACCGCAAATATAAACTATGCATCACCGAACGCCCATTCTCTGCCCAAACGTAACGCTAGAGAAGATACCAAAGTTTCAGCACCAACCGTTATCTTATTCAAAAGTTAAAAAGCGATATTTTTTTTAATTTTTAATGGAAAAATAGCGACCAATGGACCAGAGCCATTTACTAAAAACGGGTTGAAATGAAACCCATTTTCCTATTGAAAATTTCAGATTATCACCTATAACTAATAAAATAAGGGTTAATGCTGAAACCTTGGCACGTGGTTCGGAGCTCAAGCGCTACATTTGGTAAAAAAAATCAGCATTCGATGTTGCATGATTTATTTTTCCGGCAAAAAAAAAAAAAATTGTGTGTGCGTGTGTGTGTGGGGAAGGGGGGGGGGGGGGTATTTTGTATGCCAACGTCGAAGTGCAGGCTATAAATTATAGCACACGTTTGAAGGAGTTCTGACGCTACAGAAGTTGCTTCAGTGCACATTTGTGTAATCAAATGAAGTGCCCGTAACAGATATAAACTTACCTGATGTTTTATTTAGTTATTTCGCTATTTGGGGTCTTACTGAAAACGGAGGATTCCGCATGATTTTTTTTTTTTCTTAGTGTGATGTTTACAAGCAGTTACAAAACGAACGCGCCCATATTGCGAGCCTGAAAACGAAATTCGGGGTTTCGAGCCGATCATGTTAGAGTTAAAACAATTGCTCCTTCATTACAATGCACTTTAACTGCAAAATAAAAAAGAGGGTATGACGCTGCTTTGATATCGTGTTCTAAACACATGCTTCTCTCGCTGTATTTTTAGCAGATCTTCATACGTGTGAGGATTTTCGTCAGACAATATCTCGTATCGTACGCAAGTACAATTCGTTTTTATAAACCTTATATAAGTTTTCTTATTCCTGCCATGTTCCCAATAAATACAAGATCAAAGTCGTATAATTATGCAAGCGATTCAAACTGTTGGAGACGGCGTACTTCA